AAAGTATTCAAATGGGCAGTCAAATGTTTTGACTTCATGAATGTATGACCTCATGAAGTGTTACGATATGCATCTAATACTCTCTATCAGTAGTGTAGAACAGAAAATAAAATGATATTTTTTAGATATCGAAACAGTATTAAGTTATACTTCTTAGGTACACTAAACACTTTTCTTCACAGTTTACACTACAGTATCCTCCAAACAAATGTTTTCTTGCACTGATTTAGGTTTGCAATTCTACGGTCACATTCTCTGGTCAGTAAGGAGATGAAGCCATCTTTTCTTCCCTCTCCTTTATCTACCACCCACTTCTGGATAATGCTAAAAATGCAATATAAATGGTTAAGCCTGAGAATGTATTGGTTTTCAAATGAAAATGTGAACGTTTTTAAAGGAAATAACCAAAACCCAATAAGGGAAATAAATGAGGCAAAGTATCAGAACGTTTAAGAATGTTGATGTAAATGAAAATGAAGAGTGCGTTATCAGCATTAAAAATCTAAAATACGGCTTTCAAAACTGGTTTCAAACCTGCCTGCACCTGTCAAACAATGGCTGATTGTAATTCGGCCCTGTGTTTGATACACATCTCATGTGACTCAACTGTGTCTCCTTTCAGCATTTCTGCTATATTGAATTATATTCATGCAAGTTGACCATTATTACATTATTCTGATTGATTAAATTACATTCTCAATCAGACACTCTTCTGGCTATTAAACTATTCCAGATGCTGGACAGAGGCAGATGCTAATAATAATAATATGTCAGTAATAATTTGAAAATCATCTAGTTTGCTTTAATGTACCTGGGTCCATTTTTTTTTCTTTATGAACCATGCAACATTAAATATACAACTATTCTGCTCATATACTCAAAACGAAACCGCTCTCTTCTACATAAATCAGCTTAAAACTGTATATTTATTACATTATGAAAAAGCCTTGTCAATAACACTTTACAATAAATAAATGAATAAATTCAATGTATAATTTTTGTCCCAATACAGCACCATGCTAGTGCGAGCCTTCCATTTTTCCTTTTTTGTTCCATTTTTGTATCTAAATGTCTGAAGTCTCAAGGGCTGGAGCGAAATATAAAACAGTCATCATAGGTATTGTGTGGTCTTTAACTAATAAATTGGAAGAACTTGTAAAGCTGCTAAGAAATCAAATGGAATATTGAGAGTGTAGCCTTATGTGTTTTACTGAGATATGGCTAGGAGCATATCCTGCATGCTATTTTAACCATCACAGGCACTTGATAGGTCAGGTCACTGCTCTTACCTACATGTTGAAGCTAAAGGAGAAGTGGGTGGACACCACCATTATTACCTGGATTACTGATTACCTGATATCTAGACCCCAGTTTTTGCTTTGTCTGTAGTCTCTTGAGCCATGTCTCATTTCACACTGCACATTCCTGATTACTCAGAGAAAAGACATCTGTTCTTATGACTCTGCTGTTGTGGGGTGTGTCAGTGATGAGCGAGAGTTGGCTGTGATCCATAGCTTTGTTGATTGGTGTGAGAAAAACCTACAGCTCAATATGGCAAAACTAAGGAGGTGGTGAAGGACTGAGACCCTGCTGGAGCTGGTCTCCATTTTAGGACTAGGGATGGTGATGCTGAAGACCTGCAAGTATCTGATAGTATAGCTAGATATCAGACAGGACTGGACTCATCTGTCTAGTAATTAAAATAGTAGCAACCATAACAGAATAAAAACAAATAAATAAATAAATAAACTAAACAAAACAAACAACACTATGGTACAACCATGGTTAATTTATGGTTAATACATAGATTTTGCTGTTATTTTTGTGTAGATAAATATATTTACAGTCATCTTTTAATTAATTACATATTAATCGGATAATTAATATGTTTGTTATATTTCAAGATAAAATGTCTGCTGTTGCTATGTACCATAACTTTACAGCAGGGCTTAAATCTAGAACTTTTGTTAGGTTGTAACAGAACAAGCATATTACTACAGCTAGCTGAATATTAGAAAATGTTTGTAAATACTGTTAGTGTAAACACTCTCATAATGTTTGCAATTAATCAGAAAAATTTTGTGAGAATAACAGGAATTTATATAAATGTAATTGCACATGAGTAATTGCCTGAGTGAGTATGTGCAGTTACTATCAGTAACTGTCAGTAACTATCAAGACAAACTTATGTAATTACATGAGTTAAACCTGAAGTTGGTACACATGTGTATTTACATAAGCAATGCTACCATAATCCATCCAGAATAGTGAATACATCAATAGTAGTTACAGTGTCATTGTACCTATTGTTAATGCATCACTACACAATTATTAAAGACAATGTCAGATGGACCGAACACCCTCGTTGTTACAATAGGGGTTCATATAATTCCACTTTTTAAAAGTAAGTAGATTGTTAGTAGTAATGACAGTAGTAGTAGTATGGTAGTAGTGGGAAAGAAGTGGCTGGCAAAAATTTGGCATCCATCAGACATTGGGTGAAGTTTCCTTGTAGAGAACAGAAACTAAAAATGAACTGAAAGTAAAATCACGTTACAGACACATATAAACAACTCCTACTCAAACTGTACCATGTAGACTTTTGTGCATGCCTGCACCACTGTTTAAGCAGGACTGGCCAGTTCCAGAGCAAAGACGTTATTGTGTGGTGCCAGGAAAGAGATTCTTAACTTTTGCCTCATTGTCTATTGGCATACCATGACATTTCTCTCATAATAGGGCATGGTGCAGGTGGGCATATACATAAGTAAGCAAGTAAGTAAGTAAGTAAGTAAATGAATAAATAAGTAATAAAAAATGAAGTGTGATGTACAAACTCCAAATGTATTAGGTACCTGTGTTGGGTAAAATGATGGAGACAGTTTAACCCCTAAATAGCCTGGGCCCATCAGCAGGCCCAACGTTTTATTACACACTTATAACCTAAGAATAGCTTGGCCAGTTTGCTTTGAAGTCCCTTTAGTTACTCAATAATAAGCCCCATCATGTAATAAGCCTGGTATTTTAAGGGACACATTGAAATACCAAATAGGTTCTAGCTATTTTATGGGTAAGTATGCAGAACAGTCTCCAAATTATTATGTAATTATTTGGGGTAAATAATAATAATTACCTTACACTGAAAATACCCTGAATAGTTTCTAGCTATTAACTGGAAAAAGAACAAAAACACAATAAAATAATTTAATAATTGTTTGAATTAAAAAGGTGATAGTAAAACTATTCACATATATTCACAATGGGAAAAGTATTTTTTTTAAAAGGGCTAAAACCTTAGTAAGAATAACTTTTCTTTTTCAACACAGACACAATGTTGTTTCTAAGTAATAAACCCTTTATGTAACAATGTAACTTGAACTTTATGTAAAGTAATAATCTCTTTATGTTTTCAAATGTCTTAAGCCCTATTTGGAAAGGATTAGTTTTATATGAGGAGGTGTGGTAATGTAGTTTTTACCAGCATTTCTTAGTGACTTTTATCCTGTCCAAATGTGCCATGTCAGACATTTTTACCAATTGTGTGAGTCAGTGAAGATTCCAGCCTCTTACCATCTGTAAAATGAGCGATAAGAATGACCTTAGGTCATATTAATCCTGCACAAATTGACATGTTGGTAAAATTATTGTCATATTCTGTGAAAAGGGATTTCCTTTAGTGTTGAGACACTCAAAGCAGTCTCTTACTCACCCACTACTTCAAAAAATTTTCCGTTCCACTTTAAATGGTGCAGCACTTACAATGCCTCTTGCACCAGATGTACATGCTGGACCATATAAGGTGAATAGGAAGCGAACTTCAGGCTCCCAAGCTGGCATGTAACGTTACTGTCTTGTCTCGTGTACGACTGAGAGCATAAAAATTACAGAAAAAAGTTTGATTTCATCAACTAACTATTATGACTGTTTGCTGTGAATTTCTAAGCTAATGGTGAGGCTAATGATGCACTGCATTCACTTAAGAAAGGTAAATGGTTAAGGTAAATTAAATAATGGCTAAATTAAATGTTCTACTTTTCTGTAATGAAGGCAGCGCATAAAATGAGCAGTCATTCCCATCTCTGTCATTGAGAACAAGATTTCTTATCCTGTGTGCATTTCTCATAAACAATACAGACATCCTGAGGTAAACTGGCATTAGCAAACCTCCGGTAAAACTTTATTTGGATAGTCCTTTTTAGATGTTTTTTAGATAGTCAATTTACTATAAAGATTAATAACTAAATATTTACTAATTAACCATTATTTTATTTAATTCTAAACCTGGCTGTAATCCTAACCCTAAACTTAACCTCAACCCAAAACCTAAACCCAACCCTAACTCTGGTCCAAATCCTAACTGTAACCCCACCACTGTTTAGAATCAACTGAGTTTGAACAGATAGTTTGTTTACAATTTGAACATCTGTAGATAATCTATAGAGGACTATAGCGAACTATTCAAATACAGTGAGACCCTTTACAGATATTCAGATTTGCTTTTCTGCTTAAACATGTTACATGACAGTGAAATTTAGTACACATTTGTTTACACTTGCCATCTTATTACTCCACACAATTATCCAATTATGAGATATTTTTCTATCATCAGTTTAATACCTACAACCTGCTCTTTCCAGTGCAGTTTCCAGTAGTTTGATTGTCTGGGTGCTGAATATGTTTGGTTACCATTATTTAGTCCACAATACTTACACTGCACTTTGTCTGTACTTGATGTAAAAACTGTCACATTTAGCATTAGTTAGTATTAGCATATATGATGACCATTCCAATGTCTAACTATATATGAAACATTTGCTTTTGTTTTACTAAGGCCTTTTGTTTTTAGTTTTATTTTGGATAGTTGCACAACACACGTGTAGGTTCTTAAAAAAAAACTGGTTGAATTCTTCTGGAGGTTTCTTTGCTGCTTATGACCCGCCCATATACATGAATGAAGGTACAGATATGACACAGGTGCAGCAGAAGCAGCATCTCAAAGAGAGAGAGAGAGAGAGAGAGACTGAGTTAGCTCTGCAGTGGCTTCTCAGGTAAGAAATGCAGCCACTTATCTTCATTTATCCTCCATTGTATAGTACTCATATTTTCTGCCTTTGTTTAGTATAAAAGAAACACAAGTCCAGTACAATACAGAACAATATAACTTCAAATTCAAATAAAATCACATTCCTTTGCTGACCCTTTCCAACCAATTTTTAGAAGTGCATGAGAAATTGGTAAATATTAAGACATGTTATTAACATAATTACATAGCATAACTACTAACATAACACAATTGAAAAAACCATCAATTCTCAGACACGTTTCTTTATTAAATTGAATATTTCAGGTAGATTTGGGATCAGAGAACCACAATGTGGTTTCTAATTCCACTTTGCGTGGCACTGCTCTCACTATTGAACGGTAAGTTCTGGCATAACTACTATAAATGTTCAGTTGCTTTTTTTGTAAGCAACTTAAATGATCATTATTAAACCATCAAAATTATTATTTCTCTCTCAGGAGGATTGATCAAAGGACAACAAACAGGTAATTGTTCTATTCTGCACATTTCTACAGGCTGTCCACTTTGTTGTTTATATTACTGCTGGTGTTGTTCTTTATTAAGCAATTCACCAACGGCTTTCATAGTCAAAGCGAAAGAGACATTCGGCTGTCAGAATGTGTTGTATAATTTCAGAGCTTGAAAAAAAAACATTCTTAAGTCATCCATTAACACAACATACAGACACACCCTACAGATATGCTACCCATCCCAGAGGGCATGACAACATTTTTGAATGGGTTTGGGATGATTTGCGAGTAATTTTTGTGTAGTATGTTGTGGTACCACCACTTGACTGGCCAATTGGGTGAGCGGAGAGGAGCACATAGAAGACTCCCAGAATGCTGTGCGTCTCTCCACAGCCTTTATTTAGTTTCATGTTTTAATGTTGTTGTTTATTAGTTGAAATATGTGTTTGTGGTGTGTGGTGGTGCTTTATCATGCTCTTTTGAGTTTAACTAGTGTTTACTGGCATCGTGTGGTGCTTTTCTGTTGGTGACCTTCCCCTCATTCCCCCATATGTTAGTTCTCTTCTATATTTGCCTCACTAAAGAAGACTGGCAGACTCTAATATTTATTTTTATTTATGGAAATCTGCTTACACAAGTTTCACATTACAAAACAGGTCTTACCAAGGCTGATTTTCCACGATGAAACTTTCATGCAACTGCGATGTGTTATTTACACTTGCATAGTAGTAATATTTTTGTCATCTTTGAGGACAGCGTTCTTTGCATTTCAAAGACTCTTTGTTATTAGGGTACATCAAGGGTACTTACGGTTAAAAAAAAAAGGTACATCGAGAGAGGAGAAAAATAGATATCATATCACACGATTACATGAAGTGTTTAAGAGTCCTAACTGGTTGTTTCATTAAACCATTTTCACAAGTTGAGATGGCTGCAACTGTTGCAGCTGAGTTGCAGGAGGCATTATATTATGCAATGTTTCACTATGTAGAGTGAGCCTGATTGTTCACTAATGGAAAAAAAAAAAAAACTCACAAAAAATTTCAAATGAGTCTGGAAATGCTTTGTTGTGTATACATTATGATCTGGTCGACATGTCAATGCATGTACAGTGTAGAGCTTGCAATAATATTTTGAGCTATGATAGCAGCAGGACTGGCACGTCATCTCTTCATTGACACATTGAACATAGATGAAGCTGTCAGTTTCAGAGTCATTCCTCGCACCAGTTAAGTTCAACAACAAAGCCAGAGGGGGTGGTCCTGGTGGCTACCCCTGAAATTGGAGTGGCCACCCTGGGTTCAACCCCTAACTCTCATTCATGCTACTAGCTGCAATAGTGTAACTACTGGGGATGGTAAAGGGGGAAAACTGGGCCTAATGTGCAGGGGGGTCCCACGTTGACTAGGCCCCCATATTTTTTCTATTTTTTCTTAAGTTAAATGATATACTCTTACTTTCATTCAATTAAATGAGGTGTTCTGCTAACAAAATTAAACAGATTTATTTATGTATCTTTTTAATCAGGATAAGAAATACTTTATAAAGTATTTATGGTTATATGTACTGTATATGAACTGTATTTACGCAGTTTATGCATAGTCTGAAAATGTTTAAAATCCTATATTTATACTGTTCTCCTTGTGTGTATATAAGTACACAATTTAACAGCAAGCCAAACTCCATTCAAACGAATACATGGGAGTCAGGATATAGCCTCCAAGCTCCAGTGCTTTATTGAGCTGCACATTCATGCACTGAGTGAATAGGAGTGAGTATATATATATGTGGCCAAAGTTTGTGGACACCTGCTTACCCATTGTTTTTTGGTTTCAAAATCCAAGAGTATTACAAGGAGTTTGACCCCCTTTGGTGCAGAGTAACAGCCTTTACTATTCTGGGGGAGCTTTACACTTGACATTGAGACATTGCTGTGAGGATTTGATTGCATGAAGTCAAAAGAACATTAGTGATGTCAGGTACTGATGTTGGATGATCAGTTCTGGATCACTCCAACTCATCCTAAAGATACTGGATGGAGCTCCATTGCTCCAGAGAACACAGTTGAATTCTGTGTGTATTTGTACTCCTGTGTCAGCAGTGGTTGCACCATAATGCAACTGAATTCACTAACAAGAATGGATGTCCACAAACTTTTGGACATATAGTGTATTTGTGAGAGAGTGCAAATATAACTTGACGACGGTGTGCAATCAGGGGTATGTTAATGAGTGTCGCTTAACTAATATTGTTATATGCAGTAAGTATAATTAATAATATGTCATGTAGCATGTAATGCCCTACAGTGCATTCACTACACTACTACATGTGGAAAAAACAGCAGCTATTAAGTTACTCATTCATCCAGTGTTATAATTTTGTAGAAAAGGAATGGGTCATCATCTCATTTTCTGGGGCATTTTTATTTAAAATCCACATGTTTAGGGTTTATGAAATTTGGACCCCCTAAAGTTGGCTTGGCCACTGAAAGTCCTCACCATTAATATAGTCTTAGGACTATGACATGTGACATGGCCTTCTGTTAAGGGTTGTTTTGTTGTTGTTGTTGTTGGGGAAACAAAAATGAAAAATGATTCAGGACATTCTTGGTCTTAAGGCTCATGGCAAAAACATGTGAAAAAACCTGCCAGTCCAGGAGCCTCATGACAGGACTGCCATTCTTGTGATATGACTAGTTTGACAATATCAGGTAACAAAACAAAAACCACTTAGACTGACAAGATGATAATGGATAGCTTCTATACAGATACCTGATAAAGTATCCAATCTCATAGAAAAAATTAAACTATAAATAAATAGAAGAAGGCAGTGATTTGTAAACTTTTCTTTTACAAGTAGTTATTTGAAAACAACAGAGAGAAGAGATACTTAATATTTTATTCCATAAACTTTATTGATTTTTGTAAATATAAGCCAATTCCAAATTTGATGCCTAATACATTCCAAAAATGTTGGGACGGGGCAATGTAAGACAGAGGATTGGGCAGCGATCAATCTTCCTTTGGGCAGCGATCGAACTTTCCACAGTAAACAGGTGAATGCTATCATGAATGGGTATAAAAGGAGCATCAACAAAAGGCTTGGTCATTTACAAGCAAAGATGGGTTGAGGTTTCCACTTTGCAAAAAACTGATTAACCACTTAAAATCACAGTCTTGTCACATACTTAGGCTTGTTATACAGTAACTACAGGGACTTCAATGCAAATTAGCTATTCTCACGTTATTGAAGTGTGTAATAAAGTTCCGGGCCCCCTGGCTGGCCCTGGCCATTTAAGGGGTTGAGTGAATAGTCCAACAGTTTAGGAATGCATGATCACAAAGGATTTAGGGATCTACATTCCATAACATTATTAAAAGATCCAGAGAATTAATTGAAAATGTATGTAAGGCAAGTAAAACAAAACATCAGCAGAACCAACATTAGTGTCTTTCCATTATTTTAGGTTAGTTTTTAGTATGTCATTTAGGTCAGTATTTTGTTACATATCTCTTCTGGATGACAGCTTGAACTCTTCTAGGCATTGAATACATGAGTTTGCACAACTGATGCTCAGCCAGGCTTGTGAAAAATACATTTTTCACTCTTGATTTTTGGAATTTTCGGGTTATCTGTATATTTATAATTCAAAGCTACTTTTGAGCAGTATATATATATATATATATATATATATATATATATATATGTACATGCATATGTGTGTGGTGTGTGAGTCTGTTGGTGTGATTGATTTTTGTGGTACAATTACTGTCTAGAATATCAGCTCAAAAACTTCCACATTGATTTTTTCAGCACCTTTTGGTTTCTAGGAGTACAGGAACCAAGAAGCTATGACATATCAGTATTTATCAATATAGTTCTGGTAAAGGCTATAAGCTGTAGTTATAAGCTAACTAATATCAGTTTGAAGTAGAAATGTCTAACTCCTGATATTGAATTTAAATTGTGCTCTTGGATTTGGCGATCACTGGTATCTACTTCACGTCACAGAGACCTGGTGCTCTGCTCAGTCACAACACATCTCATTCGGCCCAAGAAGAGCTGATAATTAGGTGTTTTCAAGTAGTATTAGTTATATCAACAGTTCAGTTGACAACCAGTAATTTCAAAATCCAAGACTGAGAACGGAGTTGAATACACCTAAGGAATACTAAGTAGAATACGCTTAAGGAATAGTTCAGTTAAAATCAAAATTACATAGTCTTCCTATTACAAATTCAGTTAGATCAGCTAGGACATGGCTGGTGTCCAAGGTGCTTCTTTAGTTGTGCTTAGAAGCTGCAAGGCTATTGTGGGCAAAAGGGCAATGTCTACATTTGCATGCACATAGTAGAACAACTAAGCTCTTACTAAGTCAAAGAAACTGGAATGATCCAATTTTGCTTGAGTTTTTTTTAGACTAACTAAGAGCTTAGTTAGGTTACTGTGTGCATTTAACATAGTTATTAAGAGCAAAAGGGCAGTGCCTTTTGCCTCTCTTCCTTAAACATTTTGTTTGTCTGCTTATTTCTTTTGAGCCCACAGTTTGCAATCATCACCTTCTAGGGCTGAACAATATGACAATATATATCATTATTGTGATAATTTATGTCACAATATAATACATCATGCTTTTCTGAATATATTGTGCATAACTCCAGTACTTGTACAAAGCTGACCTATTGCATGTTTCTTTATGAAGAAAGCAAAATGAGTGCAACACAGAATGCCAGATATTGAATAAAAATCATTGTATTCACAGTTTTTGATGGCATTTTTAAAATTGTAGTGCTACTGGTTCTTTGTTTCTTTTTTCCAACTGAACATCTTGACATAATTACAGTTTTCATTTTTTCTTAACATTTGGCTTCTTATTTTAAGCAACCCTTTTAATTTCATTTTAGCTTTTTCAACTGAAAGTGATAGCAAACGAAGGTGTGAGCGTAACTTGATATTCCTGTTAATCATGTGACAATTATCTCATCTTAAATAAACCCTGTACTGTTTATGTAAGCGTATTAAAGGTCACATATCCCCTGAGAGTATAACACCCAGGGCAGGACTGCTCTTCCAGCATTCCTTTCCATAGTTTGCGCACTTTCGGCCACTAAAGACAATTCTTTTTTACTGTGTTTTTGACATTTAAGCACTTTCATTTAAGCTTTGCATTAATGTATATATTGTGCATTGGATACACTCTTCTGTTGTATCTCCTTCTTATAATGTCCTTGCAATGTGCTTATTAATCCCTAACATAGCAGTAGTGGGTAAATAACAGGCTGCTTATTAAGACATTATTAAGAAATAATTAAGGTGAATTAAGCATTTTCCTGAGCACTTGTAATGATCTTAATAAGCATTATCATATCAGCTGGCAAATTCAACCTTTCAGACAAATGATGCCTATTGGAGTGTTCATGAATGTTTAGGTAGGTCTATGTCAGTTGTTAAGAAGGGCTTCTGTAGGTGTCATGTAGTCTTTTGAAGACTGCCTTACAGTGAAATGTTACTATTTCTCTTAGGGTTTTCTGTGTTTTAATTTAACTTATCAAACTTCTGAGAAGCTTACTTGTGTCGAAAAGCAGTGAAACAGGATAAACAAGCTCATTCCTGCAAACAAGTGACATAAACAACTATTATGGAAGAAAAACATTCTGAAAGTATTTCAAAAATGTTCCAGTCATCTATCAACATTGAGGCTGATGGAATCAAGCTAAACTTGATCACCACTGCATGGTGACTGATTGGTATTAAAAATAAATAAAATTTGTTAGTCTTGTAAATTTGACCAATAATATTATCAGTACTGGTGACATTTAAGGCTGTTGTTAGAAAATGTAATACAACATTTAGAGTCTAACAACTTAAATGGCCAGAGCTCACCAGCAGGCCCAAAGTTTTTACTTCTATAACCTAAGAATAGCACAACCAGTTTGCATTGAAGTCCCTGTAGTTACTGAATAATAAGCCTTAGTAGGTAAGCCTGTGATTTTAAGGGTTTGAATAGAACTCTAAAATATTTAGAGGAAATCTTTTATTGGCATTGACCCTCCTTTATGACAGTTTTTGGAAGAAATAATCTGGACAAGAAATTCATGTTGGTAAAAGCCATATTTGTACATGTAACAGTTGATGGGGCATAGTAAATATATTTGTAAATTCATGTAAAAAATCTGAAGGTTTTTGGCATGAAAAAGCTGAAAGTTCTTATAATCCTCAATAAAGTAGAGAGCTTGAAGGTTTTCAAGCAGGTTTTCCTCAACTTACATTTTCTCAGGACAGAAAATTTCTTTTCCAAACATTAGAAGTGGACAGACAATGATACTTTTTTGAACATCACCTATTTAGCAGGGTTATTGCTGGAATCAGACTCTGTCCCTCGGCCAGGGAATTGAACCCAGGCCCTTCGTGCTGTGAGGCGACAGCACTGTGCCGCTGAACAGTAACAGTATATTTTAATAAGTATTTTTAAATTTTGGAAGTTTTAGGAACTTTGGAATTACTGTAAATGTTTTTCTGCCTCTTCTCACCGCACAGCTCATCATAACATATCTGCCATTCAGCCATGCTGAACATCTTTTCTTATTCCTGTAAGCAAAAAGACCCTCCACTAATGAGTAAAGAAATGATGGTGAGTTAGGACTGAGCAACAAGGAGGAGGTAAAGAGAGGTGGTGGGGTGCACAAATCTTTCCACAGGAAACAGAAAGAAGAAGATAATTATAGGATGTTACCTAGGATCGGCAACAACATCTCCGGCGCCACAATACTGAGCACAGGTGCCCCTCAGGGCTGTGTGCTTAGTCCACTGCTGTTCACTCTACTGACTCAGGACTGTACTGCAAAGTACAGCTCAAACCACATCATCAAGTTTGCTGATGACATGACTGTGGTGGGTCTGATCAGCGAGAACGATGAGTCAGCATACAGAGAGTGTGTACAGGTGCAGTGGCTAACGGACTGGTGCAGAACCAACAACCTGTCTCTGAATGTGGACAAAACTAAGGAAATGGTTGTTGACTTCCGAAGAGTGCGAGGTGACCACCTCCCACTTAACATCACTGGCTCTGCTGTGGAAATCGTCAGGAGCATCACATGTTCACATCACAGAGAACCTGGTCCCTCAACACTAACTCCATAGCCAAGAGAGCCCAGCAGCGGCTCTACTTCCTGCGGAGACTGCATCTCCCCCCTCCCACCCTCACCATGTTCTACAGGGGGACCGTGGAGAGCATCTTGACCAGCTGCATCGCCAGCTTTGGGAATTGCAATGCCTCTGAGCGCAAGACCCTACAGCAAACAGTGAGGACAGCTGAGAAGATCATCGGGGTCTCTCTCCCCTCCATCATGGATGTTTACCCCACACGCTGCATCTGCAAAGCCACCAGCATTGTGGACGACCCCATCCATCCCTCACACAGACTTTTTTCACTGCTGCCCTCTGGCAGAAGGTACCGGAGCATCCGTGCCATCACTGCCAGACTCTGCAACAGCTTTGTTCCTCAAGCAATCAGGTTTTTAAACTCACAAGGACTGAACTGAAATCCCCCTCACACACATACTATACACTCTCTCACTCACACACACACATACTCTACACTCTCTCACACACACACAAACATACTCTACACTCTCTCACACACACACAAACATACTCTACACTCACACACAAACACACTTTTTGATGCTCTACTTGCACTATCTGGAACATTGCTGCTAACACTGTATATTGCTGCTAATACTGTATTTTGCTGACAATACTGTATTCTACTAAAGTACTGTATATTATACCTCAGTAACTGCTGTGCTCACGTTTGTCATAATTTGACTGCGTATACTCACATATCACAGCATGTTAAATATCTCTGCACCTTATTCCACTACCTCATGCTCAGAAAGGAGTGCTGTGTCGGCACTGCACTGTCCTGTCTGTTTTCTGTGTCTAATGTCTGTTTTATTTATCGTATTTATTGTATTGTTTCTAGTTTAATGTTTTGCACACTGACGTCTGCACGTTTGCATTTTGTCTGTACTGTCTATTTGGTTCCATGTTGCACCTTGTTTCTGGAGGAACGTCATTTCGCGCCACTGTGTACTTGTACATGGATGGAATGACAATAAAAGCCTCTTGACTTGACTTGAAAGAAGAGGAGGTATAACTTTAATTATGACTAGTTATTTCAGAAATTCATTTATTTGAATCTTGCCTACATCTTGGACTTCTTCCTACATCACTTATAACATGTTTCTCTCTTACATGCATCTGTTTACCTCAGTAAATGCTTGTCTCTTTAAGTTGTTCCAACATGTGCACTGAGATCTGCAAATCAATAAGGCAGAGGGGCTACTTTTTATTGTTGCCATAGATCTTTTCTATGGAACTCAATACCACATTGACATTATCTCTAAATACATTTAAACAAGGAAGGAGGGTCTTTCTTATACTCTTAATAATAAACAGCTTTTAAAATAATGCAGTTATGTTATTAGACATAACTCCTGTTTCACCAAGACTGTCATGATAGAGGTTTAGGTGAATAAATTATGATCAATTTGTAATCGATTTGTTTACTAAGCATGATGATAGACCCATGAATCCATAAGGCAGCTGCGGAGTACAATGGTGAAGGTAACATCTCTGTTAAATATCTCACTGCAGGTTTTACAACAACTTTTCCTCAATCTGCCACAGGACAAACCACTGCAGAAGGTAGGCAAAAACCAAATTATATAAACTTAGAAGTATAGTGGTAGTTAAAAAAACAATGCAAAAATCATTGTAAGATACTGATTGAAATAAAAAGGGTATCTCGAAGGTATATTTTGTCGGATGACATGTTCTTTCGACTTCTAGAAATAAAATTATTTGGACATTTCATTTAAAGGGTACATGTCATGAACAAATACTCTATTTCTTAAAGAAACCAAGCAAATAAAGCAATAAATTTGTTGTTGCTGTGATGTGATGAAAACTAACTAATTTATATATATTGAATATATTGACTTATGCAGCCTATCTAAATAGCTTTTTTTTAAAAATAAGGCACAATACTGGGTAGCCAATCAGAACAGAGATCATTTACATATATCACTCTTGTAGGATGTAGGAAATGGGCACTTTAAAGCCTTGACAACTGCCAACCTGACAACTTCACTAACTGTCCTTACAATCCTGAACTTAATAACTAGCCTAACATGGATATAATTGCAAAAGTTTAATCATTTTCCCATTTATGTACACTAGACTATACTGAAACATTAGTTGTTCAGGGCTCTGGAAGCTTCTGTCATCAGACTTGATAATTTCCCACTGGGTATCTATATTATTTAAAGAAGTAAAAAAAGTGATATTCGAAAGATAGGGTCAAACGATAAATTGAGACTTGTTTAGACAATATATTGTACCTAAACAAAACACTGTCAATGACCAGAAGTCTAATGAGAAAAAAACTAATTTAAAGAGTGTTAAACTCGACACAAGTTAAACAGGATTAAAAAATACTCAGCTTTTGAAAATAATTCACATTTACAATGAAATCAACACTTTCTCATGACAGTTACTGGCAGCCGCCCCAGTTACGACCCCTGCAATAACTACACTTCTCTGGATCAACCCTGGAGAGCCAACAATGAAACTGGATCAGGCATCTGTGACAGAAACTTCATCTGGAACGGCTGGTACCGACTGTTCTTTTATGGGATGAACATCCGTATGGCAGAGAGCTGTGTTCCTACATCTAGGTGTGGTAGTTACTACACTCTGTGGCTCAATGGTCCTCATCCTCAGATAGAGGACGGAGTGGTCACTCGCCAAGTCTGTGGGAATCAAGGAAGTGACTGCTGTTATTTCACATCTACCCAAATAAGAGTGAAAGCATGTCCAGACAACTACTACATCTATGAGTTTGTTCGTCCAATCTACTGCAATATGGCTTACTGTACAAGTAATGTATTCATGCTTTCATTAACATCTTGTTTTTATTGAGCAAAACTGGCCATTTTCTGTACATATTTTATGTAAAAATTTGGTCTCTACAGATGCAAGTACAATCACCCCGACTATTGCTCCAACGATGGACACTGGTGCAGCACCTATCAGGACCACATGTAAGTTTCCATGGGTACTATAAGCTTTTAAAGTTGAAAAAAATGTTTTTGAACATATCAGTATTTATATAGTAACTCATACCAATGCATATTTAATAACTCAGCTCTCTGTCAGTATTAAATAAGAGTATAAGGCTTCACACTGCAGGGCAAATCAGATTTGTTTTATAACTCACTTTTTAGACTGACTGTTCAGATTACAAGTTGTAAGTGACTAAGTTTGACTTGTGTGGTCAGACTAGTCTCATTTGCTTGCATATTCATATTGGTTGGTCTAGTACCAATGCACATGTGCATACGCTGATTAGGTAGGAGCAAAACTAGGCAAAGCTATTTATGATAACTAGCTAATAAAACGATCATGCTATATGTCACATCAGTGTTTCACATTTTGTTAACTACAGCATGAACTGAAAGTGACTGCTAACAGGTTTCAGAGACAGGCTTTCAGTTCAGATCTTTTAATGAAGCAGTCAGTGTAAATACAACATACAAAGTAAAATGAATGTTACCTAAATGTCTGTTAAAAGTTTTTTAAGCTGCCATATGTGAATGCGCACCTCTGACTTTCATGATGCACATTCTGATGTCATAACCTGCCGCACCCCGAATGAAGAAAAAAATCACATGGAATTTGACCGGTCAGACTGAGGCGCATATCCAGAAAAACTATTTGAATCAAAATTGAAATGACAAACTACGACAGCGTTTTAGGGCCACTGTTAATAAAAATAAAAACAGTAGACTTCGAGAATAAAGTCACAACACAAGTTAAAACACAGTTTTCTGCACAGCCGTTTCAGCCATTTCTCATACTAATAACAGGCTGGTGCTGATGTGCCTGGAGACACAGGGAGACTGAGTGTTTCTTTATGGGTGAAATCAATATGAAAGTATAACTCCACCAACTCCTCACCGTCCCTCATTTTAACATGAGGAGGTGCTGCTTTCCCTTTGCAAAGTCTTTGGCCACAATATTGCAACCTTTCCTGGTATTAATGCCACTTTAATGTCATAATTCTACAACTTTTTTTCTCAAAATATGCCCCTCTTTTTTCTCAAAATAGTATGACTTTATTCTCGAAATATCGTACGGTACAGCTTTTTCCTCTAAATATTACGACTTTTTTTCTCGAAATATTAGAACTTTATTCTCAAAGTCTACTATTTTTATTTTTATTAACAGTGGCCGTAAAATGCCGTTGTAACAAACAAATGTGGCTTGTGGATTGGAAAAAGTCAAATGTGATGCATAGAAAATCTGTCCTGCTCAAATCAAAAAAGCCAAAAATTAGATTGAAATAGAATATAAACAATAGTCGTCAAAAATGCCTGAAGGGCATTTTGTATCTATAGATTCATAAGGGGTAAGGGGAAAAAAAAAGAGCCACACCCTGAAACGGATATATAATGCAAATTTTTAGCATTTTAGCCATTTTAATTTTTTTACCTGATCTTTGAGGAATAATGAACAAAAAAAATGTCAGATCTGTCTCCTATTGAAAATATACGGTGCATCATGAAAAGAAGAATCAGACAATGACGACCACAGACTGTTAATCAGCTGAAGTCTTGTATCAAGCAGGATTAGTCAAAGTTCTACTTGCAAAACTGCAAAAAGTAGTATCCTCACTTCCCAAACACTTAAAAAGTGATGAACATGCCTCTTCTGCTACTTTTTCGAAGTGTGTCATAGGCATCAATTTTGAAATTTGTTTTCCACAGCAACCAGCAACTCCACGTCTGACCCTTGTTACAACTATACTGTTCTTGATGACATCTGGAGAACAATATACACTTCCAATGGTTATGGTTACTACACTTATGGCACTTCTAGCTACTACAGCAGTCATGATGACACCACTATAGAATGGAATGGCTGGTACCGGCTTTATCTTCAGGGGACAAATGCTCAGATTCCTGAATGGTGTGTAAATTTCATGACATCTGGTGGTTACACCCCACTGTTGCTTGGTGGCTCACATCCCCTTGTGAAAGATGGTGTTGTTTCCCGTGCAATTTATGGATCCTATAACAATGGGTACTACACCACCCAGTGCAATTACTACACATCCAACACAATTCAAGTCAAAGCGTGTCCAGGACATTACTATGTCTACAAACTTGTTGAGCCAGCTGTATCAATTCTGATGCCTACATACACTGCAGGTACATTCTTTTTCTGTCTTTTTCCCAATGTGAACAATAATAATATCCTCAGAGTAAAGATTAATTACAAACAAGTTCCATTAGGCCTTACCAAACATTGTTTTTTCGATTAATGAATATAATCTCCAGGGATGATAGTACAATGCATTTAATTTCATGTCCATTGCAGTTGCTTTAAACAGGCCGACTTACGATCCCTGCAATAAATACACTTCTTTGGATCAGCCCTGGAGAGCCAATAATGAAAGTGGATTAGGAATTTGCGACAGAAACTTCAACTGGAATGGCTGGTACCGGCTGTTCTATTATGGGATGAACATCCGTATGGCAGAGAGCTGTGTGAATGTTTCCAGATGTGGTACTGATTACCCTCTGTGGCTCAGTGGTCCTCATCCTGAGATAGAGGATGGAGTGGTCACTCGCCAAGTCTGTGGGAATAGAGGAAGTGACTGCTGCTACTACAAACCCATTCCAATTCGTGTCAAAGCATGTCCAGGCAATTACTATGTGTATGAGTTTGTCAGTCCAGCCTCCTGTAATATGGCTTATTGTACAGGTAAAACATTTGATTTGCATGTTTATGAATGTGCTTTTAACATTTTCATTATAAAATTATTTACATATTTTCCCCTAATCAGATGCCAGCACCATAACTCCAGCTTCACCAACTGAGGCCAATGATGTACAGTCCAACATCACAATGAGTAGGTTTCTCTCCTTTGTGTCTCTATTAATAAATAAAATAAAATATAAAATAAAATAAATAAAATAAGAATAAAAAGCATTAAGGGTTTGTGTTAATGTTAAGAGGGTATATCTGTTAGGGATGTGTTTTGTCTTTGATCGTGGGGGCCCTCCTAAGTATCCTGGTATGATGTCCTGCACTGGGGACAGGCTGTTCCAGAGAATGTCTGAACTCTCCTGAACACCCACTTCAGAGTAGTTTACAAACCAGGCTGTAATGAAGCTAGTGAGATCCCTCTCAATGAAGCACTTGAACAGGTTTCTCAGGATTCTGGAACAAGTCAATTCACACAAAAATCAAGGCACAAGTTTCAAACAACTGAGCAAAAGATATAAACAAGCATGGTCAACAACAAAAAATCATCCAGGACAGAATAAACAAGCTCAGTAAGCAGTAAGAATGAACTGGCAATACTGGCAAAACTATTTCAGAATCTTGACAGGACCAATATAAGAGGTACCTAGTACCTAGTGCTCAAAAGTGCTCAGATGTCTGCATGGTGTGTGAGCTTCATGCCATGTGGAGGGGGTTCTGTCCCCTCCCCTTTCATTCCTAATTGCTCGCTAGCATTTCACACAAAATCGAGAAAACAGTGTCCTAATCAACCCAATAACAAAGTTATGGTGAAGTATATTTCATTTTTTTTACTTTAAATAAAATAATATTATAGTCAACTTCATGCAAAACAGTCTACATGTTCAATCCGCCCACTGTGTTGAGATAAATAACTTGATAGAGGTGTTGAATTCTTTTAAGTTTAGATTTAGAACCTGTAAATGATAACTAGAATGACAGTAAGAGGATAAATCAGCAACAAAACATACTGCTAGATCATGGTCTTTGAAATGGGATCCAAGAACCCAGCAGGAAGCTCTGGGGGAAAGAGTTCTGTGGTCGACCCAGCTGTCCAGTTTTATGGATCTTTGAATAAAGTTGAAGTTTGCGTCTTTCAATGCCATCTTACATTTTAGTACTTAATTTAAAATAAAAGTCAAGCTTTCCTCTGCAGCATGCAAAATGCAAGGGTATAATTGACAGCTGAACTCCTGTCTGTTTCTCAAATGTCATGTATCGTATATGTAGAGTATATGTATTTCATATGCAGTGACACTTTCAAGCGTTTCTCCAGTCAGCAGAGAACAAAAGTGATTTTGGATTAATTGGTGGAAAAACCGAAAGCCGGCATTGGCATCCTGTTTTGATATCCTGTTAAACTATAGTGTCCTTCGTTAGCATTCTGACTCTGGTTAAAAAACAGTTAAGCATCTTAATAGATATTACATTTATGTACGCATCTTCCTTCACAGTACCCACCACAAACAACTCCACCTTTGACCCCTGTAACAACTATAGTGTCCTAGACAACTACTGGAGAAGCGTCAAGAGCAGCTATGATGGCCATGATGACACTCTTGTTAAATGGAGTGGCTGGTATCGGCTGTATCTTCAGGGAGAAAGCGCTCAGATGTCTGAGTGGTGTGTGAGCTTCATGCCATGTGGTGGTTACACACCACTTTCACTCAGTGGTTCTCATCCACAGCCAGAGGATGGCATTGTCACTCGGGAAGTCTACGGATCCAATGGCAGCCAGTGCACAGCCTACAGATCCAAACCAATCCAAGTAAAAGCCTGTCCAGGAGATTACTACGTCTATAAATTTGTCAAGCCAGACATTTCCATCCCGATGCCTTCTTACTGTGCAGGTACAGTTGCTTTATCCAACATGCTTTACAGAGTGCAGAGAAAGTATTGACCTGTTTGTGTTGGAGTGAATCTGTAGTAGTGAGTCTTAATAGTGAATTGTTGTTGTCAAAATTAGATAATGAAACGAAAACAGCATTGATTTTGTACAGAAGTTGACACTAATTATTGACTATTTACTGACAGTTACTGCAAGCCACCCCAGTTATGACCCATGCAATAACTACACTTCTCTGGATCAACCATGGAGAGCCACCAATGAAACTGGTGTAAATATTTGTGATTTATCATTTATCTGGAACGGCTGGTACCGGTTGTTTTATCACGGGATGAATATCCGCATGCCGGAGAGCTGTGTTCCTGTATCAAGATGTGGTACTTATCATGGTCTGTGGCTCAACGGTCCTCATCCTCAGATAGAGGACGGAGTGGTCACTCGCCAGGTCTGTGGGAAAGGAGGAAGTGACTGTTACTACATCAAGTCTTTTACAATCCAAGTCAAAGCATGCCCAGGCAACTACCATGTGTATGAATTTGTCCACCCAGTCTTCTGCAGTATGGCTTACTGCTCAGGTACTTGCAGATTTACATTTTTTTGTCTTTTTTGAAGCTTAAAATGATTTTTGAATGTTTATTTCTTCTTTTACAATTTCTTTTTATTTTCTTTAGACAACAGTACCATAAATTCAACCTCAAACTCAACAACTGCAGCCAATGAAGAAGAATCCAACATGACCATAAGTAGGTGTTAAAGAAGCTCTCAAGACCCCACAGATTTCTTGCTTTATGCCAAACCAAAAAAATAAAACTCCAAGTGTTTCATGGCTGTCACTAGATTTGTAGTCATTTTCAAAACCCCTTTCTTAAACCCTGATATCTTAAATATTTTGGCCTATCTAGTCTATCTTTTACAAAACTGCCAAAAGCCTTCTTAGTAGTTGAAATGCAGATAGAGTGATGATAGTGAACTTTACCCAAGGTTAGCTACTGTGTTGTGCTAGTGTGCTCATGTCACACCAATATTAATCAGAATCAGCATTTAAAAGTTTTCAGTCAGAAGGTGTCTTAAACATTATGGTGTTGTGTAGTGGTATCTGTAGAAGTTGTTGGAAATGTACTAATCACAATTATATATTAATTATTAAATTGACCAATCAAATTGTGCTCTTGAAACTCATATATGGTGTTTTATGTTTTTTTTGACTTGTGTGGAATCGTGGAATTTGGTCCTGTCCATGTCTACCAATTTATAACATTTGACTTCAGTTGGCCACTGGGGGCACTGTTCATAATCACATTTACAGCATTTGGCAGACATTCATATTCAAAAATAAAAACATGGCAATAAGGATTTCATTACATCATTGTTAAAAGAAATATATGGAGTTGGCAACTAAACAGTTGCTAAAGATTTTGTTGTGTGTTTGACGCAGTAAGGCTACATCTTGCATTGGGTGCAAAGTAGGTAGACATGTTATCAGACAGGGAAACCTTTAGCAAAAAAAAATCCAGGTTTCGACAGCACAAGTCCCAACTTTCCCTGGCTCCATGAAAATGCTACGCTTTCATCAGCTAAAGCTTTCAGGGAACTCTTCTTTCCCCCAGGGAAACCACCTCCCTGACCTCTCAGCTGCTACATTATGACATGCAGCCTGGTTGCAAAGGCCTTAATATGACCCCTTACCCAACAGTTATTTGTTTTTTATGCATACATGCATTCTATGTACATATATATATATATATATATATATATATATATATATATATATATATATATATATATAACTGCACTAAAGTTTTACAAATTTGAGAGTGAGATTTTAATAATTCCTAATGCTTCTATATGGTTCTATTTCCACAGCGACCAATTCGGGCAACTCAACGTTTGACCCTTGTTACAACTACACTGTTCTTAATGACATCTGGAGAACCACATACAGTTACTACGGTTATGGGTACTACACTTATGGTTACTCCAGTTACTTCAGTAGTCATGATGACACCCTTGTTCAGTGGAACGGCTGGTATCGGCTTTACCTCCAGGGAGCAAATGCACAGATAGCTGAGTGGTGTCTGAACTCTATTTCATCGGGTGGTTACACCCCACTTTGGCTTAATGGCTCACATCCTCGTTTGATGGACGGCGTTGTAACCCGTGGAATTTATGGATCCTATAGGCTTGATCAGTACACTGGTCAATGCTATTACTACAGATCCAAACCAATTCAAGTCAAAGCATGTGCAGGACATTACTATGTCTACAAACTGGTTAAGCCAGATATATCAATCCCCATGCCTACATATACTGCAGGTACAGTCTTCTCATATTTATCATCATGAGCTGTCTGGAAGATAATAATTACTGTACCATTAGAGTAAGAAGCAGAGGGAGGGAGGTTCTTTTAGAGCTTACAACATAGTGCATTATTATTTGTATTATTATTATTAGTAGTAGTAGTAGTATTTCTAATAATAATAAGAAGAATAGGCAAAAGAGAGATTTTAAATAGGCAAGATGTTTAGTAAATGTAAGGGGAATTTTATTGTAGTAGCAATAAAACGTTAGGATTTCTGTCTGATCCACTGTGCCATTGGCATCCTGTGTTAGCAAATAAGACCAAATAGATCTACTTTCTTGTGGATTCAACTGATATTGTAATTCAGTTTGTTTTACTACTCTGACAAGCTGTGTATTCGTTTTTCATTAAAGAAACTATAGACATATTCAGATAAATATCTATATATCTATAAAAAGCTCTAAATTTGCATACTACAAGATTTTAAAACTCTTATTCCACAACAAGACTCTATCAGAGTCTATACTGATTTCTTTACAAACACACTCTCATACAATTGTCTACAGTTAATCAAGCAAATTTACCATTTTAATCTGAGAGTATAAAAATGAAGATACTAATTTTGTACCTTCTAGCATACGTCTTAGCTAGATATGAGCTAGATAAAATTAACTTGGTTCTAGCGATTATCATATGAAAATAGTATTCCATTTTAAATTGAGGGATGGCATGTTTTAGTCAATGCATTTTGTTTGATCATTCATATTTCAGCTCTTCCTTTAATTAGCCGTAAAGTATTGCCTACTTTTTGTTTTCGGTGATGCTTCCATTTAAAAAAAAAAGATGCACATTTCAACATTGACTCCAGGGACAGCAGATCAATTAGTCAGTGACTCAGTAAAAGACAGACACTATCACAAGCTGGCAGCTTACAAGCATTCTTTGTTTCCATGACAGTTGCTGTAAACAGTTACATCAGTTATGACCCCTGCAATAAATATATCTCCCTGGATCAACCATGGAGAGCCAACAATGAGACTGGACTGGGAGTCTGTGACAGTCATTTCAACTGGAACGGCTGGTACCGGCTGTTCTATCATGGGATGAACATCCGTTTGGCAGAGAGCTGTGTTCCTACATCCAGATGTGGTACTTCTTACCCTCTGTGGCTCAATGGTCCTCATCCTCAGATAGAGGATGGAGTGGTCACTCGCCAGGTCTGTGGCAGCACTGGAAGTGACTGCTGCTATTACAAATCCACCCCAATTAAAGTAAAAGCATGTCCAGGCAACTATTATGTGTATGGGTTTGTCAGTCCAAGCACCTGCAATGCAGCTTACTGTACAGGTACAGTTGGTTATCACATTCATGGATTTTTCAGCCATCAAAAATGTTTAACACAATGTCAGGAATGTATTATTTTTTTTTCTCTTTTCAGATGCCAGCACCATTACTCCTGCACCACCAACTGAGACAAGTGGTGGACAATCCAACACGACCATATGTAGGTTTTTATAAATACAGTACCCTTCAGTTTCTATAGATCCATTATGAATATTAAACACGTATCCTCTGCATGTGAATCATACGTCTGATCCCATACACTTAGCTTGAAAATATATATATGGTTCCACATCCTACATATGCAAGGCATGCAAAGGAATCCATGAAGTCAATTTTTGTACCCACATGTTTATGTTCACATACGGGTTTTTATGTTAGACTTCAGTAAGCATTCTCTAATTAAGTATTCTGATACACTAAATACCAATTATTAATTTGTATAAATGTGTTTTCTCCTACATAGCGCTCACTCTAAACAATTCCACATTTGACCCCTGCAACAACTACAGTGTTCTGGATGACTACTGGAGAGGCATTGGAAGCAATAACAATGGCAATGATGACACTCTTGTTAAATGGAACGGCTGGTATCGACTGTATCTACAGGGAGTGAGTGCTCAGCTTCCTGAGTGGTGTATGAGCTACGTGACATGTGGTGGTTACACACCACTTTCGCTTGGAGGTTCTCATCCAAAGCCAGAGGATGGCATCGTCACTCGAGACATTTATGGATCCAGTGGTAGCCAGTGCACAGCCTACAGATCCAAACCAATCCAAGTGAAGGCCTGTCCAGGAGATTACTATGTCTATAAATTTGTCAAGCCGGACATTTCCATCCCAATACCTTCTTACTGTGCAGGTACAGATGATATATGAAACAGTGATTACAGAGTGATAGCTTTGATGGACCTTATTTGTGTATTTATTGATTGATTGACTGATTGATTGATTGATTGTCAGAACAAAACCAAAAAAGCAACATTATAAAAGAAGGAACAAAAACTTTGTAAGTTGTAATGGGAGTTAATGTAAAAAGAATTTTTTCCGAATAATTTTGGACCATTTCTGTTGGTCCGTTCCTCGTGAAATTTAATTGCTGAAATAATTGTCTTGCAGCATTGTCTTGCTGAAATAATTTAGGCCTTCCTTGAAAAAGATATCATCTGGATGTCAGCACATGCTGCCAAAACCTGTATATATCTTTCAGCGTTAATGGTGCCTTCACAGATGTGCACTAATGCACCCCTATACCATCATGAATACTGGCTTTTGAACTGTGCACTGAGAACAAGCTGAGTGGTCTTTAGCCTGGAGGACACAGTGTCCATGATTTCCAAAAAGAATTTCAAATGTTGATTTGTTGGACCATAGGACACTTCTCCACTTCTCCTCAGACCATTGTGAATGAGCTTGGGCCCAAAGAAAGTGGCAGCTTTTCTGGATACACTTTATGTATGGTTTCCTGCATTTTAGAGTTTTAACTTGCATTTATGGACGCAGCGATGAACAGACAGTGGTTTTCAGAAGTGTTTCTGAGCTCATGCAGTGATTTCCACTGCAGATCCATGTCTGTTTTTAATGCAGTGCCGCCTGAGGGCCCATAGATCACGGCCAGCAAATACTGGTTTTTGGCCTTGTTCCTTGCATACAGAGATTTCTCCAGATTCTCTGAATCTTTTAATGATATTATGTACCATAGATGATGAAAAGATGATTATTTGCAGTCTTTCACAGAGTGGTGAACCCCTTTGCATCTTTACTTCTGAAGGACTCTTTTTATACTCAGTCATTACTTACTAATGGTTACTGACCTGTTGCCAATTAACCAGCAGGTGTAGCATTACACAACTTTACCAGCCTTTTGTTGCCCCCATCCAAACTTTTTTTTGGAACATGTTGTTGGCATCAAATTCAAAATGGGCAAATATTTTTTCAAAATACAAAATTTCACTGGTTTTCAAACAAAACAGCTCTTGAAATTTATTAACATATTTAATCATTCTTAATATATATATATATATATATATATATATATATATATATATATATATATATATATATATATATTTACATTTTTTAAATCTATTTATTTTTTGACAGTTACTGGCATTCACCGCCCCAGTTATGATCCCTGCAATAACTACACTTCTCTGGATCAACCCTGGAGAGCCAACAATGAAACTGGTTTGAACATTTGTGATGGTAACTTCAACTGGAACGGGTGGTACCGGATGTTCTATCATTGGATGAACATCCGTATGGCAGAGAGCTGTGTTCCTACATCCAGATGTGGTACTTCTTACACTCTGTGGCTCAATGGTCCTCATCCTCAGATAGAGGATGGAGTGGTCACTCGCCAGCTCTGTGGGAATGGAGGATATGACTGCTATTACTACAAGTCTACCACAGTTCAAGTCAAAGCATGTCCAGGAAACTACTATGTGTATGAGCTTGTCCGCCCAAACTACTGCAATATGGCTTACTGTACAGGTCCTGCTTATTTATTTATTATTATTATTATTATTATTATTATTATTATTATTATTATTATTTTAAATTATATTTTAGCATTCCTTCATCCTTTTTTTAAAACATCTTTTCTTGTTTTTTTTAGACTCCAACACAATTACTCCGACTTCAGTTCCAACAACTTCACCCAAAAATATAGAATTCAACATGAGCTTAAGTAGGTTATTACCATGAGTTGGAGGTAAAATAATGGGTGTGCAAACTCTTATATAAAATCAGGACCACCACCTCCTTTAAAATGTACCAGGAGTCAGAAGCAAAGGACGATTTTCAGAAGCAAAAGATTTTTCAACAAAATCGACAAATAGCAAAAAAAAAAAAAATGAAAAAAATGAATTGGCAAAATGAGTGACAAATTGAGTGAAAACAAGTATTAATACTTTGATGTAGCTCTCATGATTTGCATCTGTAACATATTTTGGACGCAACTTTGTTGGGTATAGTGGTTTCGTTGAGAGTGCTAGTATTTGGATCTGTCATTTTCAAGAATACTGGCATTGCTGAAATTTTAAGTAAAGATGGTTTTGGCAATGCTGTTACTTCGGTAAGGAAGCTGTGTTGAAGATGGCACAAGGTGGAATGGCTGGAAACATAGATTAGAAACTTATCCCTGTAGTTTTCCGTCCATTTGAACATTTGTTGGTTGATGGTGTGGTTCAAAGGAAAAACCTTTTAAAACCTTATTAATGTTTGGAATCCAAAAGGCAGGCGTGGAAGATGCTTGAGTGATTGTACTTTGTTGGTATATTTAAGTGTAGTTTGGGAAGATGTGTTCTTTACTGGTTTTGATATTTGAATATTACTGATACTTATATTTTTACTGAATTACATTTTTAATGGAAAAACAACAACTTTTATGGTCCTACATATATTAAGCATCTCCAACAACTATATACATGTGTATCAGCTTCAGCTATTACTCAGGATAGTTGCAACAGCATATTTTCTGTAATGTTATTACATACATGTAATAGAGTTAATGTAATTACATTTGTATAAGCTGCTGTTTTTCTAACAAGACATTTCTAGCTGTAACTGGAGGTGTGTATTTCCTGACATTAAAAGACTACTTACACTGCATCTAGACCATTGTATAATGTGACAGTATTTACACAGCAAGAGCAAATGTCCATTTAAATTTAAAAGGTATATCTTTTTTTGGGGTACTGTTAAATTACATTACATTGTTTGTACCATCATACCATTATACAACAGTAGCTATGTAAAAATGTATGCCTTTAAATGAATGACGAATTTAAAATAAATGAATCACATTACAGGTTGGTTATACAGAAATTGCTTTGTAGGTATAATAATTACATAATAAGCTGCTAAGTTATGTTTGAAGATGTGTGCTGCTGCTGTGTGAATACCGAATAGTTTGACACTTTGGTTAGGTTACCATGTCACAGTGCTGGTAATTGTAGACCTCCTGTTACAATCAGAAAAATCTTGTTGGAAAACAAGAGTTTACTCTGTTACATTTGTAATTACATAAGAGAATGTGCTTTTACAACTATCAAATTACACTTCTGTAATTACATAATTAAAAACTGAAATTGATACTCGTGTATTTACAAAAGCTGCACTAGTGAAATACATCAGTTACACAGGTACATTGGTGTTGCATGTATTGTTAATGTGTAACAAACATCAAATTTTATCAAGGGTCAAACTTTTTTGCTGAAGTCAATTAACTATTAACTATGTCAATAAAAACAGAATGCAGTGATGTTTACACCACATTTTCCGTTGAAAATAGTACAATGACAACATATCAAATGTTAAAGACTCTTATACTGCAGAGCCATGCTATTGTAGAATGTAATTTGGCATTGTCTTGCTGAAATGCGCAAGGCCGTCGTCTGGATGGCAGCATATGTTGCTCCAAAATCTGTATATATTGTTTAGCATTAATGGTGCCTTCGCAAATGTGCAAGTCACTCAAGCCATGTGCATTAATGCACCCCTGTACCTTTAGGGATTGTTGGCTTTTGAACTGTGACTGATAAAAAGCCTGATGGTCCCTCTCCTCTTTAGTCTTAGTTCATGATTTCCAAATAGAATTAAAAAAATGTATTTGTTAGACCACATGATACTTTTCTACTTCGTAAATGACAATGTGGTGGCATTTCTGGATCCTGTTTCTATGTGGTTTCTTCTTTGCATGGTAAAGTTTTAACTTGCATTTGTGGATGCAGCGGCGAACTATGTTTCCATGCAGTGGTTTTTAGAATTGTTCCTGAGCCATTACAGTGATTCCCACTATAGAATCAAATATATTTTAAATGCAGTGCTACCTAAAGGTCCAAAGATCACAGCTAACATTGGTTTTTGGCTTTGTCCCTTGCAGTAATGTTATTGTGTATCACCAAGTTTAACTTTGGGAATGTTTGGAATGTTTCATTCATTCAAACTGAAAAATGGTGGAGCAGTGAAAAAAGTATATTACCACTGGACATATACCGTACATTGTCTCAACACAATTACTTAATGAATTTTAAAAGTGGAGTTTGTCTTTACATTGCTTTTACACGTATGCAAATGCACAATTATTTGTAATACTGTTATTTTTTTTCTTTATGTTTAACATACATTCTGTTCTCATCATTTGTTTGTAATGTATCTATTTCCACAGCAACAAGTCCAATCAACTCCACTTTTGACCCCTGTAAAAATTACAACGTTCTTGATGACATCTGGAGAACACCATACAGTAACTATGGCTTTGGCTACTACACTTCTGGTTCCTCCAGGTATTATGGCACTCATGATGACAGCATCCCTGAATGGAACGGCTGGTATCGGCTTTATCTTCAGGGACGAAATGCACAAATTCCTGAGTGGTGTGCGAGCACAATGACATCGGGTGGTCACACGCCACTTTTGCTTAGTGGCTCACATCCGCTTGTGAAAGATGGCATTGTGACACGAGAAATCTATGGATCCTATAACAATGGCTACTACACAGCCCAGTGCAGTAAATATAACTCCAACCCAATCCAAGTGAAAGCGTGTCCAGGACACTACTATGTCTACAAACTTGTAAAGCCAAGTTTATCAATCCCAATGCCTGTCTACACTGCAGGTACAGTTACTTCTCTTTACCATTCATGTTTCATTTATGTAGTTTCCCAGCTGTGGTTCTGGAATATTCACTTGTTTTACCTTCTCAAATGCACTCAGTTAAACCCAGTAAGGGCTTATAAATTAGCTAAGTAGGATCATGTCTGTAGAAGGAGTCTCAACAGAAGGAAGCAGGATATGGGGTCCTCCAGAACAGGGTTAGGAACCACTGGAGTAGAGGATCATATGAATGATCAACAAAAAAAATCTTTCAAACCATTTAATCACATGGTTTAATCACACAACTGTTGTCTTTGTGTCCTTAATAGTTGTTTTAAACAGTCCAGCTTTTGATCCCTGCAATAATTATACTGCTTTGGATCAGCCATGGAGAGCCAATAATGAGACTGGGCTGGGAGTTTGTGACAGAAGATTCCCCTGGAATGGCTGGTACCGGTTGTTGTATTATGGGAAGAGCATCCGTATGGCAGAAAGCTGTGTTCCTACATCCAGATGTAGTACTTACTTCACTCTGTGGCTCAGTGGTCCTCATCCTGAGATAGAGGATGGAGTGGTCACTCGCCAGGTCTGTGGGAGTTCAAGCACTGACTGCTGTTACTACAGGTCCATTCCAATTCAGGTGAAAGCATGCCCAGACAACTACTATGTCTACAAGTTTGTCCATCCAATTGACTGCAATTTGGCTTACTGCACAGGTACTCTATTTTATTGTACACATTTTATAAGTTCTAGACATTTTGTCATATTGTCATAGTTATCTCTGCAGATGTCACCACCGTAGCTCAGACTCTCATCCCTACAGCTGTGGCAAATGTTACAGAAGTCAACATGACCACAGGTAGGCTAAAATATAGTCTATGCCTTGTTGTTTGCAATAAATTGATTGATTTTCTGAATAATATATGCATACACCATATCCAAAGACATGCATTATGACCTACCCATATTAAGTATAAGTGATTTTTATAAACAAGACACATTTCAAATAGTCTTTTTAAAGATTCTCTAATGCAGCTTATAAGTATTAGTGAAAGTCAGACATGATATTTCTCTTTAAAGGATCTTGCTAAATTTTTATTCCACAAATTTTATTCCACAGCAACCAGTCCAACCGACTCCACAGTAGATCCCTGTCACAACTACACTGCTCTTGATGAAATTTGGAGAACCGCATACAGTTACTATGGTTATGGCTACTATACTTCAGGTTCTTCTAGCGACTACAGTAGTCATGATGACACCCTTACTGAATGGGACGGCTGGTATCGGCTTTATCTTCAGGGAGTAGATGCACAGATTGCTGAATGGTGTGTAAACTCTGTGTCATCTGGTGGTTACACTCCACTTTTTCTTGGAGGCTCACATCCTCTTGTGCAAGATGGAATTGTGACGCGAGAAATCTATGGGTCCTATGGTCGTGACTACTACAATGGTCAATGTAGTTACTACAGATCCAAACCAATCCAAGTCAAGGCATGTCCAGGACATTTCTACATCTACAAACTTGTACGGCCAAGTCTATTAATGCCAATGCCTACATATACTGCAGGTACGGTCTTTTTCACAGCCTTCCTATTATGAGTGTAATAATGAACTATGAATGAAGTATGACTTAAAGGGGCTGTAGGTTTATTTCTTCTTTATGACACTTTTGGGCTTCCTCTGTCAGATTTTTGTTGCCTGGGATTATGTACAAAGAAACTGACGTCAGCTTGTCCCTCATACCAATTAGAATGATGTGCAGATTTTTTAACCTAGTGCTGCTCCTCAAACCAATAGCTCTTTAGTTGAGCCTGACAGTCTACCACTGAGCAAGATAACTAGCATTTTGAGCCTTGTGTGTAAAAAATGATATATATAAAATCACTGTGACATAGAGGTCAGCATGGGCTTGATTATTAATGACCAGACCTGCCCTTCAACTACACATCAAAATCAACTGAGCTTGCAAAATCTGCCTGCGAAAACAAAACCTAGGACTGTTACCTGCCTTGTATAGACCTTTACTATTACATAAAATTGATGAGGAAAATGTATGATTTGCTGTACTTTCCTCCTTTTCCTCTCACCTTCTAATATCACTGGATGCCCATGATGCTGCTGTGCAATTAAGCTCAGATTTCTTGGCTAGTCTAACTTGTTTGTATAATGGACTGACCAAATTCAGCCACAGTTAGTGTGTGATCTGATATCTCATACCGACTCAATATCAGACTTCTGCTTGAGAACAAAAGCTTTTGAAAAAAAGCTGCTGCATTAGCCTGCTACCTTATATTTCCATTTTTTTTTATATTTCCTAGGCTATGCCACTGCCACCATGCAGTCTAAATACTCATGCAGAAAAACTGTGTTTTATAGCTATTACATTTAATTTGTATTGAATTATTATTCACATCATTTTCACTTACATATCATCAAGTCCAATACAAAGCCAAATATAAAAAATGGTGAGGCAGTAAGTAAAATGCAAGTAAAAACAGAAAGCAGAGATTTTTATGCTGTGTTCTTAGGGGTATTTTATTAAAAACAAACAAACCAAAAAGATTTCATATGAAATATTTTACCATGTCAACAATTGATATTTGAAAATATAAACTAATTTTAAATCAACACATTTCAAATAGGTTGAGACAAAACAACTCCCCAGGTAAACATATGAACTGGAGATGAACTTCGGAAAACCCTATTGTCCGTACATACAGTTTGTCACTGCATCTATAAATTCAAGTAAGCCTGCGCTATACAAAGTGGAAGCCATATATCAACAACATCCAGAATTGCTACTGATGGACTGATGCACGGTGGAAATGTGCCATGGTTTAACTTGATTATGAAAATAAAATTATTAAGTGAATAAAGCAGAAAGGCCACTGAAAAACAAAACAGGCAGGTCACTCTTGGCCTTACTCTTTTTCTTGGTGGAAACAAAAAGCACAAACCCTTTCTAACTAACCTGAGCCCAGACAAAATAGCACAAACACATAAACACATCTCACCCGGCAACCAACAGCTACACTAACAGCAACAATAGCAATCCTTTTCTCGGTGGCCATACATTCCCCATGAGCCTCTTTTGCACATGTGCTTCTGTTTTTATTTACACTTTTCCTACTATCACATTTTTGTTTATTTTAATTGAGTTTAAAGCCCCTTTAAATCTTTCCAGAATTACCTGACATTAAAAGATGAGATACAATCTTCACTGCAGTGATCAATTCTATCAATTCAATCAATTCTACACTGCAGTTGATACATGTCCTTTGTATCTATGACAGTTGCTTTAAACAGTCCCGTCTATGACCCCTGCACTAACTACACTTCACTGGATCAGCCCTGGAGAGCCAGTAATGAAACTCGGTTGGGAATCTGTGATGCTGATTTCAACTGGAACGGCTGGTACCGGCTGTTCTATTATGGGATGGACATTCGTATGGCAGAGAGCTGCATTCCTACATCCAGATGTGGGACTGATTACACTCTGTGGCTCAACGGTCCTCATCCTCAGATAGAGGATGGAGTGGTCACTCGCCAGGCCTGTGGGAATGGAGGAAGTGACTGCTGCTACTACAAAGCCGCTCTAATTCATGTTAAAGCATGTCCAGGCAATTACTATGTGTACGAATTGTTTAAGCCTTCTGCCTGCAATATGACTTACTGTGCAGGTACAGTATTTAAATTACACTTATATGTGCTTTTAAAGTGTTTATTACAACATTTTTAGGAGTGCTTTAAATATTCCTTTTTTTTTTTAGATGCCAACACTACGACTCCAACACCTGCCTCACCAACTGAGGACAGTGTACAATCAGATACGACCATAAGTAGGTTGCTATACATACTTTCACCATATACCTTTTCTAAGCATATTTCTTCTTTCATTTAATCTGCAAACATTTAAGCAATGTGCAGTTGACTGTATACACTATAAATGGACAAAACTATTGGGACATCTACACATTACACATAAAGGAGCTTATGGAGTTGGTCCCCTGCTGCAGCTTTCACTCTTCTGGGAAACTTTCTACAAGATTTTGAAGTTTGTCTTTGAGAATTTTTGTCCATTCATCCAGAAGAGCATTTGTGAGGTCAGACACCAGGTCAGGGGTCTGTGCAGGCCAGTGAAGTTCTTCCACACCAAACTCACCCAACCATGCCTTTATGAACCTTGCTTTGTGCACTGGTGCACAGTCACAGTCACTGTTAGCACAATGAAGTCAGGCAGGTAACGTTCTCCTGGCATTCACCAAACCCAGACTCATCCACCAGACTGCTAGGTAGAGACGTGTGATTTGTCACTCCACAAAAAACGTTTCCACTGCTCCAGAGTTCAGTGGCCCAGCACTTTACACCACTCCATCCAACGCTTGGCATTGTGCTTGGTGATGTAAGGCTTGCATGCAGCTGCTTGGCCATGGAACCATGGAAGCTCTGTGACTTTATGTGATCTCCCACTTTGTGGCTGATTTGCTGTGGTTCCTAAACCACAGGAGGGAAGAAATTTCACGAACTGACTTGTTGCAATGGTGGCATCCTATCACAGTACTACATGTGAATTCAGTGAGCTCTTAGAACTCTTAGAACGACCCATTCCTTCACAAATGTTTGTAAAAGCAGACTGCAAGGCTAGGTGCTTAATTTCATATACGTGTAGCAATGCGACTGAATGAAACACTTGAATTCAATGATTAAGAGGTGTTCCCAATACTTTTGTCAATATATGGTGTATTTATAGCATATATACGTGTATATTTCCATTTGTCATTTTTCAGTTTTTGACATAATTTGCCTTTAATATTACAAATTTCCTGATGAATGCATTGATAGAAATGATATATATATATATATATATATATATATATATATATATATATATATATATATATCACATTTTTGAGTTTTTCCCCATTTAAATGTTTCTTCAATGACCTTTTTTCCACAGCACCCACTACAAACAACTTCACATTCGACCCCTGCTACAACTACAGTGTCCTTGATAACAACTGGAGAAGCACCAAGAGCTACAGCTACAAAGGTCGTGATGACACTCTTGTTAAATGGAATGGCTGGTATCGGCTGTATCTTCAGGGAGTGAGCGCTCAGATGTCTGAGTGGTGTATGAGCTACATGACATGTGGTGGTTACACACCACTTTCGCTCGGTGGTTCTCATCCACAGCCAGAGGATGGCATTGTCACTCGGGAAGTCTACGGATCCAGTGGCAGCCAGTGCACAGCCTACAGATCCAAACCAATCCAAGTAAAAGCCTGTCCAGGAGATTACTACGTCTATAAATTTGTCAAGCCAGACATTTCCATCCCGATGCCTTCTTACTGCGCTGGTATTGTCTCTTTCAACTTTTATCAGCACAGATCAGAGCAAGATCAGTCTTGCTATATCATATTTAAGAAATAACAACTTTCAGCTAACCTAAATACAATTTCAAATCACATTTAATCTCACATTGCTACTGTTTAAACGCCAGTCATATCATTTATTATGTTTACATTAAAAATGGACTCTTTCTCATTACAGTTACTGTTAACCACCCAAATTATGATCCATGCAATAATTACACTGCTTTGGATCAACCCTGGAGAGCTAATAATGTGAGTGGTTTTGGCATTGTTGATGACATCTTCAAGTGGAATGGCTGGTACAGGTTACTGTTTTATGGAAACAACATCCGTATGGCAGAGAGCTGTGTCCCAACATACAGATGTAGTGGTCGTTACACTCTGTGGCTCAATGGTCCTCATCCTCAGATAGAGGATGGAGTGGTCACTCGCCAGGTCTGTGGGAATCAAGATAGTAACTGCTATCGTTTGAAAAGTCTCACAATTCAGGTGAAAGCATGCCCGGGCAACTTTTATGTGTACGAGTTTGTCCGCCCAGGTGCCTATGATATGGTTTACTGTTCAGGTACTGCTTACTTACTTTGCCTTGCAGACTGTTCAAAATGTACAATTTTTAACAGGTATACATTTATACTTTAATATTTTTTATATTTTTTTTCTTCAGACTCCAGCTCTATAACACCAGCCTCAGTTCCAGTCACCAATGAAGACTTCAACATGAACATGAGTAGGTATTTTTGGAAAATCATATACTCTATAGTTACCGCTGCATGATTAGACAAGCATTTCAATGTTTTGTGTTCATCTTGAATGTTTTGTAAAATTCTATTTTTTTTTGTTAAAAAAATAACTATGTTATCTTGAGATCACAAGATCACAAGATAATTAACCCGATCTCTCAAGATAACAGTGCAGAAAATTATAACTCCCTCATGGCCTCTCCAGACTTCTCTACTTACATGCTCAATAAGTTTAAAACCAGTCATACGTTTTTTGTTTGAACAGTTCAGATGTTACATTGTCCTGGAAATCACATACATTTGACATTTGGATTACAAGATTCCTGTCATTTATATTGCTTAATTCAATTGCCTTGTCTTTATCTGTACTTGTGTCTGTATCTGCTCTGTTCCCACAGCCCCTGACCCCTGTAACAACTACACTGTTCTCAATGACTCATGGAGAACCACATACAGAAGCTACGGCTATGAGAGTTATGATGACACTACTGTCAATTGGAATGGCTGGTATCGGCTGTATCTCCAGGGAAAGAGCGCTCAGCTTTCAGAAGCTTGTTTGGGCTACATATCATGTGGTGGTTACACCCCACTTATGCTTAACGAGTCTCATCCACTAATACAAGACGGCATAGTAACCAGAGAAGTTTATGGGGCATACTACAGCGAATGCCGCTACTACAAGTCCAACCCAATCCAAGTCAAAGCGTGTCCAGGACATTACTATGTCTACAAACTTGTCAAGCCAAATGTATCAATCCCGATGCCTACATACTGTGCAGGTAACAATCTCATCTATTTTTTTCTGTTTTGTTTTAATTGGATGCTGTTTGCTTTTCACGCATTAAGTACAATTCAAGATGACAACTTAAATCTTTAGTATGTTTTGAAAGCAACTTTAAAACTCTGTCTGTCTGTCTGTCTTAAATGTGAGGAAAATCACTAGACAAATACACATTTCTTTAATCTAATATAAAAGTGTCAGTGGTTTGATTGCAAGATGTATAATTCTTATATTTTCACCCTTTTTTTCACGACAGCTGCTTTTGATAAACCCACTTATGACCCCTGCACTAACTACACTTCTCTGGATCAACCATGGAGAGCCACTAATGCAATTGGACTAAAAATTTATGATGGTCATTTCACCTGGAACGGCTGGTACCGGATGTTCAATTATGGGATGGACATCCGAATGGCAGAGAGCTGCGTTAATGTGTCCAAATGTGGTACTTACTACACTCTGTGGCTCAATGGTCCTCATCCTCAGATAGAGGATGGAGTGATTGCTCGTCAGGTCTGCGGGAACTCGGGATCCAGATGCTGTTTCTTCCAATTCTTTGCAATTCAAGTGAAAGCATGTCCAAACAACTACTATGTCTATGAGATTTACAATCCATACTATTACTTCGGTAACAGCTACTATTACTACTACTACTCCAACCGTCACTTATACTATAATTCTGCTATGGCTTATTGTACAGGTACAAACTTTGACTTCATTTGTATTCTGGGTTGTAAGAGCATTGCAATGCTTTATCATGTATTTGATTTTAAAATAATTTGTTCTTCAGATAGCAGCACCATAACCCCTACTCTTGCCCCAGTAATCGCAGATACTGGATCCAGAGTGACGATGCGTAAGTTTTCCCAGCGATAGACGTCTCCATTAAACTCCTACTGTTGTCATTCAATGAAGCCATTACTACACTACTATACTACTAATATACTTCTACTATTCAGATAGTTTTAAATCTGATCCTGAAAAGAAATGATAATAAACCAACAACTGTAGCTTCAGTGGATAACTATGGTTATGAGTTTTGTATGTCATATGTTGAATTAGGTAGTCTAGTTTAACAATGTGGGGTATTATTGTATTTCCATTCTCTGTATAGGCTCCACATTTCACTTGTTGCATATGAAAGTAAGTGCACTAAACAGAAAATTGACCAATTCATGATGACTTTTTCCACAGCAATCACACCGACTAGCAACAATTTTGATCCTTGTTACAACTACACTGCTCTTAATGACTACAGGAGGGGCATTACCAGTTCCTATAGTGGTCATGGTAATGATGACACCCTTATTCAGTGGAATGGCTGGTATCGGCTGTATCTCCAGGGAAAAAGTGCTCAGTTGTCTGAGTGGTGTGTGAGCGACGTTTCGTGTGGTGGTTACACTCCACTTATACTAGGTGGCACTCATCCAAAGATACAAGATGGCATTGTTACAAGAGACATTCATGTATTCTCCGACGGAAACTGCAATTATTTCTCCAGATCCAGCCCAATCCAAGTGAAGGCCTGTCCAGGACAGTACTACGTCTATAAACTTGTTAAGCCATATATATCAATTCCTTTGCCTGGATATTGTACAGGTAAGGCACAACTGTTTTCTTGCTTTATGCATCATGGATAGTGAGAAATGTTATTTATAGTTGGCCCTCTGAGGAGTGTATATTTGTTTGGGCAACACTTTTTTTAACAGCAATCTGCATTGGTACTTTATAAGCAATGAGCATTGCACTGTATAAGGATAAGCACTGCATTGCATATTTAAAATGAATACTTAAGTATTAATCAACAGGCTTTGTTAGATCATCGTGGAAAATAATATTGTTGCTGTATTTATTTATTTATTTATTTATTTATTTTTAAAAGGTTTACTAACTTAGTTACTTATTTACTTACTTACTTACTTACTTCTTTACCCATTCAGTTTATTTTGGCATTAATTTTTCATTGTTACTCCAAAGCAACTTGACTTGTGAATACAGTTTTTTTAAAAGTGATATGTTACTACTTTCATTTGAGAGCATCAAGTTATTGAGTTATACTGATACATACATTTCATAAACATGGGAATGATGCTTCATAGCAGTATCATAAATATGTCATATTTCTATTTGCTTTTACATGAACTAAATTGCGAAAGTTGACAACAAGAATAATAATGGTTACATTATTTGAGTGGTCTTTTTAAGATGAAACTCTCTGTAATTTATCGACAGCATATCAATGATGTAGCAGCAGTGAATACATTCAGTAGATGTATTCTATGTGTCCAAATTTATATCTGTAGATCTTAACCTGAGAGGCCACTGAACATGTAACAGGTCTAATACAGACCATCTCAACATACTCAACAAGCTGTTATAGACACACTATTGACACCATTATGTAACTGGAGCTTTACTGGATTAGGTTAGGGTTAGGATTAGGCCCAGGGTAAGGGTTAGGGTTAAGTATTGGGGTGAAATTAAGATTTGGGTTAGGACTAGAGCCAGGGTTAGGGTTAGGATTCAGTTTTAGGTTAAAGTTAGAGTTAGGATTAGGTTTTGGGTTGAGGTTCGATAAGGTTAGGTTTTGCATAATGAAAGCAACACATTAAGTCTACTTCATGTAACGCATTAACAATACATCTATCTAATGTAAGTGATGCATCAGCAGTATCTTCAAGCTACTTCACTGATCACATCATAGTAATGTCAGTTATTGTTCCTTGAATCTACATTTATTGTGTATTTTATCAGATCCACTTACCAATATACATGCACTTTCTAGTTCTACAATTACAGATTTCCATCTGTCTGTTTCTCTGTATAATTAATTACTCCCTATTATTCCATTCAGAACTGGCCAGAGCCCACACTGGACCACCACAGAGCAGGGATTATTTGGGTTGGCAATCATTCTCAGTATCTCCACACAGTTTATGTTAGTCATCCTCTAGTCTTTCACCAGATGTCAGTTTCTGGCCAGCAGACACACACACACACACACACACACACTATTATGTCTGAGTCAATGCAGCGCTGAGAATGATCCACCATCCACATAATACCTTATCATTGGTGGTCTTTTGTGGTTCCTGACCATTAAATGGCTTAAGGGAAAATAAAAAATAATGCAGAGAAACAGATGAATAACAATTTTAAATTGTAGAACCACAAAGACCATATATATGGTAAGTGGATCCAATTTCACAGATAAAGTTGTAGATATTAACCAAGTGTAAGTAATTATTTTCAGTAACAAAAAAGTTTAAAGTGTAACTAAATTACACTAAACTGCCCCTCACCGAGTTTGTGTGGATTAATTAAGTAAATGTGAGGTACAAACTCCACAGTACTGTTTAAGTAGCGCCATGGCATAAAAGATTGCTCACTAACAACGTATTTAGTATGTACTTGTTTATTATCTAGACACAAAATTGAATCTGGGCTGTAAAAGAAAACAATAATTCTTACAGTGGTTTTACTGCATACTTCCCATTTGCTTTTTGACATTTTATGGACATGTATCTTATTCAACACCTAATTAATTATGACTAATAATCACTACGTCCCTTTCACATATCAGCTTAATAACTAGAACCTGTTATTTCATTGTAATTTGGATAGGCTGTCTTGGTACTCTGTATCATTTTACCCAAAATAAATACACAGCACTTCAGAGTTTGTACAACATATTGTTACCCAGTGAAGACCAAGAATATTTTGGTCATTTCATTGTATTTTATTTAAACTGTCTACAAACTTACCATCATGTTACCCAAATTAATTATCTAATACTTTAGAGTTTGTACCTTGTGCCGGGTTAATAACTTAAATTTATGGGACTGTATAAGTAACTGTTGTCATAAAATCTAATATTCTGTTTCTCTATCAATGGCTTAATTAAGTCCATTAATGTACTTGCTTGTCATACTTTACCCTAATTAAATCAAAATATATTCTGACTTGTTTCTCAGAAAGATGAAAATCAGAAAAAAATCGCTGTTCCAAACAATTCCATCCATCCAATGTAAAAAAAAAAAACCCTACCTGACAATTGAAATTGCATGCCAAGAGCAGCTTTCTACTATCCGCTGTTTTAACAGATTGATGGTAAAAACAAATGGGATCATCCAGGAAACCTGTGTAATGCTTCACATCTGTGTAGCACTTAAAACCATGCGTAGAAACAGTAGAAATACTGTTAGCTCAGTGCAAATGCGTGTCTCTGGGAACACTTGGCAAAAAGTAGACTAAACGTCACAGTCCTATAAAATGTTTGAATTATCTTCCTCTGAGGAATGACACCAGTATCTGACTGTACAAACATGGCCCAATACCTTTGAGACAGAATTGTTTGGAATGACAAATAACAGATAAATATTAGAGAAGTAATGGATAAATAACGGTCAAGGCTACCTAAAGGCTGAGGCACGATGAACAAAACAAACAACATTAACAAATTAACATTATGTTTTGTTGTCCAATGTATTCCTGGTTTTATGCAAAGGATGTTTTGCTTATATTTGCAGCAGGCAAAAAAAAAAAGAAAAAAACCTTGGCGTTTGGTTGTTAAGATAATGTTAAGATGATGTTAGTTATGTAAGTTAATGTGATGGTAAGATAATTTTTATAGTTTTAAATTATATCAAGGGTACCATCCTGTTGTTTTTATTGAGTTTTGAAAATTAGACATCCGCATAAAAATGTAGTTTGAGAGTACATATGACATTGTTTTTAAAAAAGCATTTTGTTTGTAATGAAATGTACTCCATATGCAGAGCAATGTGTTGCCACAGTTCAACTTCACAAGACGTTTCTTTGTTTGTTTTACAGCGTCCTTCACTTACCCAACTACTGACCCCTGCAATAACTACAATGTTTTGAATGATATATATCGAGCAACAAGCAGTACAAACGAAATATATCAGTGGTCATTGTTTAGACGGTGCGACACCGATAACGTTTGGAATGGCTGGTACCGGCTTTCCTATCAGGGCAATAATGCTCGTATGCCAGAATCATGTGTTAGTCCAGGGAGATGTGAAAGTAATGCCCCTCTTTGGCTCAATGGTGGTCACCCACGACTGGAAGATGGAATAGTCACTCGGCAAGTGTGTGGGAGCACATACCAAGACTGCTGTTATTACAAATCCTATCCCATTCAAGTGAAGGCTTGTCCAGGAAATTATTACGTATATGAGTTTATCAGACCACTCACCTGTGCAGTGTACTGTATAGGTAGATATGTTTCTTTTTATTTGTGATGTTTAATTGCTTGCATTATATATTTTTCTTTGTCTTGTCTTTCAAGTTGAATTAATTTTTTAAAAATGTCCCTTGTTACAGATGTGGCCAGCATTACCTCAATTTCTGCTCCAGGGATCTTGCAAACAACAACATCCATGACTGTGGCCACCACTACAGCTACAAGTAAACTTACTGCATTGACCACTATTTCTCACTCATTTATACTATGGGATCACAAGTAATACCAAAAATGTATATTTTTCCTTTTTATTATATTTTAAAAAGTGTATGCTGTACACTGTAAAGAACTGATGTAAATGATATAGCAGACATTCTTAGTAAACTAATGATAATCCTCAAAGAAACAGTTCAGGCTTCAGGATTTTACGATAATTAGCTGTTATTTGCAAAGCACATTGGGAAAGTGGTCGATACCTTATGTTGTAATGATCTTACATAGCATTCCTGACATTTTTGTTTGTTTATGTTCATTTGTGCTTTTTTCTGTCTACAGTTCATTTTTTGTTTGTTTGTTTGTTTTGTTTTACCTAAATATTCAAAATACATCTGAATGTATTTTGAATAGTTAAGTATTCCAACCATGATGATGTTTTTTTTAGTTAGGGCCAAGGCCCTTTGGCTGGCCCAAAGTGTAATTACACACCTCTATAACCTAAGAAAAGCTCACCCAGTTTGCATTCAAGTCCCTGTAGCTACTGAATAATAAGCCTTAGTATGTAATAAATCTGGGATTTTAAAGGATTAACTAATTTATTCTGTAACGTTATAATTGATAATAGATAATTGGTTACTGCCATCTTTGTAGTCTTAATGACTGGTGTAGGTGCAGTAACTGCTGTAATGTGATGACCAGGTCATGGTGTGATGAAGGTTCAAGCATTTGCTACCAGAATCTACCTAGACAGATTTGCCCTGTTTGCATGTATCTTGTAGTATATAATGTAATAAAACTGAGGGTCATCATTCAGCTGTGGGTTCACATTAGAGCACATACTAGCTGTACATTAGAAATACAGGCGAGTAGAAAAACAAAGTACAAATACAGTAATCAGCTGTGTTTAGAAATAAAGTACTGTAATTCTATAATACAGTATAAGTGCTGCAAGTAAACAGTAAATTACTGGAGAAACTTCTGCCAGTAAATGACTGTAATTTGATACTGAATTTTATCTCTTGATTTTACTATTAACATCTCATACTCTCTTTTCCTTTTCCTTAGAGAGCACTACCACTGGACTAAATCCACATGAGGCTACTACTCTACAACAAAGCTTTACCACAGGTATGGCTAGCAGAATTTCTGGGAAGGTTTTCAAATTAAATTTGCATTGTCGATCAGTAGCTGCAGCTGTACTGATGTTTAACCTCTGAAAGTGCTTTCTATAGCAGCACTGAAGATCCTTGAACTTGAGAAAGCAATTATATATAAAACAGAGAGATCAGGCTACTCAGCCAGTAGAGAGGCTTGATTCAATTTTTAGTTTGACTTTAGAAATGATCTGTACTGACTAGTAGTTTTGTAGAAGTCTCCTAATTTGCTAACATTATTTTTCAATTGTTTTTCACCAACTAACACACAATGCTTAGCCTATTTTAAATTATATAAGAGATGTTCCTGGTCAAATGAAGAATGATTAGTTGCACCATTAAGAAGACTAATTTTTCAATTTTTCATTTTCCATTTTTCATAGTTGATTTTTAATCAAAATGTAATAATATTTATTTGCCTCTTAATAGCTTGGGCATCTTTTCAAGTCTCTTTTTAACTTGGCCTGACCCACTATGACTCACCACTCGGTTTTTCATCACCTATGCTGTGTGAGTGGCTACTCACAGCAGAAGGGGGGTGCAGGATAACGAGGAGCAGACTATTGAAATGGAGCACACTCGCACTTGACAGATTAGCCTGTAATTGGCTAACCATAAAACCTTTACCATGCAAAAGTTGTTTTGAGAAGTTTGTGCATAACCTACATAATGTGTGTGAGTAATTGCTTTGTCTGGCTATAAGCTTGGTGTAAAAGCGTGATGTAGTGCCTTTCTCTTTGTTGCTGTTAGCCGTGTAGCAGAGGAAAGTGATGAAGCTGTATCAGCAGTCACGTATAAGAAACAGAGTAGTTCAGCACTTAAACCCCAGCAAATCTACTTTTCTAGTTTTGAAATGTTAAGCATTCAGTGGCGAGTGGAGGAGGATGATGAAACGTTGGTTGACAATGTTTTTCCATACCCAAATTTATTTAATAGAAAAGAGCTGGTACAGTGTTATTATAACTTCTTACCCAGGAAATTGATATCTACATGCACCTGTACATCAGTTTACTGTACAGGTAAATACCTTCTCAGAAATACATGTTTTTTTCTTAGTTGGCAAAGATTTCTCTTAAATTACAGGTGTTAATAGCATTACCCCACCTACCACTCCAGTACATTCAGAAACAGCAATCGTAGAGTCCACAGCTGTGTACGCCACTACCACTACAGGTAAACACACTCACTTTCTCTCACCAATTTGCCCTGTGGAATCAGCAATAATCAGAAGTTATAGCAGAAAAATATATATCTTTTCCTTAGAGAGCACTACCACTGATGTGAATCTACATGAGGCCACTACTGTACAACAAAGCTTTACTACAGGTATGACTAGCACACCGTCTGTTAAAGTTTTCTGCTTTTCTGAAGTTTGCTTCTTTAGTTCTGCACTGGAGCTACCTCTGCACATAGCAGCACTAAGGACCCAAACTCATTTTAGCAGTGTCTAAACATGACTCTTTACATAATTTTTCCAACCAACAACAAATTAATATATAAAACACAGAGATCATAGTACACAGTTAGTAGGGAGGCTAGATTAGTTGCTAAAACTATACTAACTTTGGTGTTTTCACTGTTTATGCTTGGCAGGTTAGCTTTCTACTTCATGTATATTGTGCAAGCCAATGCAAACTGCAATGTATTAGTGTGACATCTTTAGAGATCTTTACTGTAGGAAGCCAAAATTCTTGTTTTCCTGTAATCTTTCAACAAAATGTAATAATATTAGCCTGCTGATTAAATGTCTTCTGGTTGTCTCATTGTATCATTGAGCGTAAATGCTCAGTTAGCTCTGAGACCCTCTTAATATCTTGATTTACTCCAAAATACATGTTGATAAGCAAGGAAAATTCATTTTTCTGTTCAACATTCAGTTTAATAGATGCAGCACCATACAAATGAGAGTCAGGTCAACCTAAAATGATAAAATAACTGATTACCCTTTTTGTCTGTTAAATTAATTTGAGGACACTAGAGGCCACCCAAATCAAACGTCTTAGTTTAGTCAAAAGTTCTCCCAACTCGCTTTTCTAATTCTGCATCTCAGTCCAGTAAACAAAATAAAAGTTGTGTTCCCCACTCACTGTAACTTTTCCTATAACACAATCCATTCAAACATTTTCTCTTCCTGAGCTTCTACATGACAAAATTCCTTCAGACACTTCTCTTCTTAGAATAGGAACGGTTCAGGCTAGTAGGTAAATTAAGTTTATATTATATTATTATACTAATTATTATTAGTATTAATAATAATAATAATAATAATAATAATAATAATAATAATTCTACATTATTTACTAAACAAAAGCAGAAGCTGAACTAAAAAATTAACAGAACTTTTGACTTAAGTAAGTTGAGTTGACTAAAGACATGCTGTGGAATCAGTTATGCTATAATTTTATATTTAGCTGACTTATTTTTAACAGTGTGGAGTATAACCATTATACTACATTTGCCTAGTGCAAAGTGTACCCTGAGCATTTTGACTGACATTGGCCAAACCCAGAGTTATGCTATATTTTCATACCAAGGACGAAAATATTAAAAGAAAACAGTTGGCAAATTAAAGTATTGGTAAATGTTAATATTAATTTTAATAAAATTGTAAGAAATAATAAAAAAAAAAAACCTTCTCTCTCAATTACAGATGTTTACAGCATTGCCCCACCTACCACTCCTAAAAACGCAGAAACAACAGCAATCATAAAGTCTACAGCCGTGGACACCACTACCACTACAGGTAAACATTACTCACAGAGGGTCCCATGTTGGCTGGCTACTCCAACATTGCGGTGGAGTACGGTTACCATAGCGACTCTACTATAGCTTAAATGATAACAAAATGTTCTTTTCTAGTTTGTTAATGTGCTCTTTCATGCATTAAGTGAAATTTTATACATCTCTTCCTCTGTCTTCAGTTTGAGAAATGAGTAACAGTTCACTGTTTCCACCAAACTAGCGAGTGTTCAGATTTACAGATATGCTGCAATACATTGTAGTTTTTCAGAGGTATCCCAGGCAAAGTTTCAGTGGCTATAGGCCTTGAAGGACCAAAAGGGTGAACCAAGTTTGCTGTTTGTTTTTGAGTGTCTAATATTCCCTATTGGACAGCATAATGTCATGAGAAGATTTTTGGGGGTCACGGGGTCCAACAGTTTATTTAGAAGGTCCCGGACCCCTCAGGACCCCCTGTATTTTGAACCTTGATTACTTATATGCATATAACAATATGATATATATATATATATATATATATATATATATATATATATATATATATATATATATATATATATATATATATATATATATACATACACACACACACACACACACACATATATATATATATATATATATATATATATATGTGTGTGTGTGTGTATGTGTGTGTGTGTATGTATGTATATTTAGACAATACAATCTATCTATCTATCTATCTATCTATCTATCTATCTGTATTTCTATAAATACAGATAATATATAGATATAGATAATGGATTTAGGACGTGTATTGTGTATTGTCTATCTGTCTACAAACTAAGCTCTCTTGTTGTAATTTTAGAATTACAATGTTTTAAATATACATGTCTCATATTTTCTTTGTTGTCCCACAGAGAGCACTACCACAGAGATCACTACCACAGAGATCAATCTACATGAAGCTTCTACTGTAGAAAGAATCTTTACCACAGGTATTGCTAGCACACATTCTGGGAAAGTTTCACTCGTTACACTAATTTCAGTAGAACTCGCCTCACTGAACATTGAACCATGATATACAGTCAGTGCACTGATAGTGCTTAATTTGCTGGAAGAGTAAAGTTAGAGAAGAAAATCTAGTTAGAGAGTTGAACTGTAATGCATGTAATTTGCTTGGTGCACCAGTTTGTTTTAAAGGAACAATTATAGATTATTATTATTTCATTTCTGCTTTCTGATTACAGTTAACAGTTAGAATGTGGTGTAAGATTCTAAATGACGTTATACTGTGATATTTTTTAAATACAATGAACCAGATTCATTTGCCTGCATCAAATGTAATGTTTGGAGAATCCTCTTCTTGAGTGTTGGAAGTAGGATTAGCTTTTAAACCAAATAAGTAAAGAGTTTGACATGTTAAGAGCTGAAATGCATGTTGACATTGATTTTTACTGCAATCGGTTTTAGCTTTTAATCCTATTGTTCATTTTACAGTAGATTTTCGCTAGTAAAAACTATTAAAAAGATATTTAATATTTATTAGTTGAAATTAAATTTTCACATGTGCAAATTAAATTCATATCAAGAACTAGATATGAATTAGTTGAAATTTAATTCTCACATGGGAGTTCAAGAGATCAAGCAATTATAAAGTAGTACAATTTTAAATAGGAAAAAAAAAAACACACAGCATAGCTATAAAAAACGGATCTTACATTGCCTGATTACATTATCTAGAGGTAGCATGCCATGTGAAAGAAAAAAATTCAGGTCCTAAAATCGAACCTTGTGGGACTCAATAAGGAATGTTAAACATTTTTAATGACATTAATTGAGATCAAAAAGTATTATTCATTAAATATGATATAACCCTTTTTGATATAACTGTTCCTCAGTGGCCTACTCAGCTTTCAATGTGGATAACAAGGTGAAGAGAAAATGTATTAAATTGCAGAAATCTTCAGAGAGAGAAAAAAAATCAAGCTTGTTATTGTGACGCGGCAACAGAATTCAGACGCTCGCGGATGAAAAAATGCAAACAGTGTTTTATTATCAGGGGACACAAGCGGGGTTGAAAAACAAGCGTGTGTCTTGATCAAAAGGCAGCAGAAGATCACCGAAGTGATCATAACACAGGGCAGACAAAACCAAGGGGAAAGTCAAAATCGTCGTCAAAAAGGCAGGCAGAAAGGTCAAAAACACAAATCCAATACAGAATCAGCAAAGGTACAAAAGGAGTAGGCAAAAATCAAGCTCGATATAACAAACGTGGGTCGAAAACAATCACTCATAAACAGATCAGAAAAAACGCTCAGTAAGTTCCGGAGAATCAACACCTCGCAAAGTACCCTAACTAAAGCCCGGGCTGATATACTATTCTAAGAGAGTCATATGATTCAAAACACAGGTGTTCTTAGTCAATATTCAGGTGATTGGGAACGCTGACAGGTGCGTGAACGATTGTCATAGGTCATGTGATCACCCAAGGGATTATGGGCAATGGAGTCCGCTCTGGACTCCGAGTCCGAGAGAAGTTGCTCATCCACGTGATCTCCCAGGTCCTTCTGGGAAACGTAGTCCGAATCCGTCCGAGGTGTGACAGTTATTCTTAAAGAAATTCAGCAAATTCTGTCAAAAAAGTCACCAATTTGTAAGTTTTGTGACTAGCAACTAAAAAAGTCACATACTAAAAAGACATGAATTCATCAACAGTGGATGCTGATTTTTAAGGATGAGTCTTTAATTGAATACGATTATTTTGACCCATATTGCTCTTTAGCTTTCTTATGTTTGAAATTGCACAAGTTGTGTTGACTAATGTGTTTATTAAAACAAATACTTTGTTTTGTTTTTGAACTGGTTGAATTTTGAACCCAGTCTCAATACTGTGGGGCTTGTTTACTAATCTTAATTACCAAGTTAAGTGGCTTATATGATGTCAAAGTAAAGGGGAACTGTAGAAACCAAGCAAGAGATTGATAGTTTACTTAATTCAAATAACTTGCCTGTGTGTTCTTTTCTGCTACACCTTACTACCCTTTCTGTCTTTTCTTCAGAAACAAGTACAACCAAGATCAAACGAATTGGTAATACCACTTCAGGATTTAATGCTACCACAGGTAGGTAACAGTTACATTGTGGGTAGGTTTTCTGAATGCCTCTTAGATTTTCTCTTGGTTGTGTTGAATATTGAAAGATAAACAGACTCTAAACCATGCAGGATATTAAAAAAGCCCTAAAATGTCATGGATTTACATATTTCATTTACTTTATTTTTCATTCTATGATGAGTAATTTGCTTCTCTAGATAAAGTTCTATCAAACTGAACTACCAACTAACACACAGTGCTGTCTGCTTAAATATATATAGGATATAAAAGAACTATGTCTTAATTGGCAGGTGTAACACCAGCATCAAACACAGCACAGATCATAGAGGCAATCATAGCTGTAGCTTAATAATGAAGACTCTGTTGTGTCATTCAAAGACTGCTCAAATTCAGCTCCTCAGACTCAGGAGGGTCAGTGATTACTCACATTCAAAAGGGTTCCTCGGTGTTGTCACAATCCAGATTTAAGCTAATGCTTGTATTTTAATGCTTGTATTTATCGTGCTTCATTCCGTTGTTAAAGATATCATTTTCTCTCTTTAGCCCATTTGTACACTTGCATGAAGCTGAACTGCACTGTGGATGAGTGGTGTGGGGAGAAAGATGGACTCTATGGTTGCTTCTGTAATGAAAGTCATTCTAGATCAAGGCCTGAAGTTTACGGTAAAGTAAATTTTGATGTGCAGCAGCTTTAAGAGTTGTTTCACTAAAACAGTTTTTCACACCTCTTTCCATTTTATGCTGCATTTTGTTTCAGACTCCAGAGAAACCTGTGAGAGCAGCTCTGGCACCATGTCTCTGTCCCGCTGTCAGCTCTTTGAAGCTGGTTTCCCTGCACACGTCCTGCACCTGAGTGACCCCAGGTGCAGAGGAACTCTCCAAAACGGCAGACTGGTGTTCCACTTTGATAATGATGACCACATCTGTGGCACAAACCTCACGGTAAACTAACAAAATATGGCTAAAGTTCTTTATAGAGCTTAGTAAGCTGACATCTGCATACAGAATAATACAGAAGTCTGAAAAGGCCATGAGCTGTTACTATAATTTTCTGGATAGTCATCTTAAGATAACAAGTTGATTATCTTGTGATCTCAAGTTAACAACTTAACTGGTTATCTCAGGATAGTTATCTTGAGATCACAAGATACTTAATTGGTTATAACAAAGTTGTTATCTTGAGATAACCAGTTAATTATCTTGTGATCTCAAGAAAACAAATTTTGTTATCTTGAGATAACCAGTTAAGTATCTTATGATCTCAAGATAAAAAAGTTTTTATCTTGAGATCACAAAATAAATAACTCATTATCTCAAGATAACAATCCAGAAAATTATAACTACCTCATGACCTCAGACTTCCGTAGTATAACAATAAATTCAAAACTATTTTAATTTACATGCCCACAAAAAGGCCACCTAAATCAGTACATTTGGGTGATTTTTTTAATCTAAGAAATAATAGAGTAATCTGAAAAAAATACATTTAAGAAAGATAAACATCAAGCAATTCTTGCACATCTTTCTAACAGATTTCTGTTCTTTTTCTCTACTAGTTTAATAATCAGTCATGGAGATGCATTTTGTAACTTACTTTTTCTATAGTAATGTCTACCAGATTAGTTCGATGTCAAAAAAGTTGAAAACATCTTATGGACTTTTTAACGAATTTGGACTTTAGGCACAGACTCACCCCAAACATTTGAGATGAAGACCTTTGCCCACTAACATCAATACATCATCCCAAGGCATGGTGTGTGCTCAGTAACATGCATGGTGGGGACCAGGCTTTGGTAGAGAAATCACAGGTTCATGTTTTGTAAATTGGGCAGGGACACCCAAACTTCATAAATCATGCCTTCCACAGCCAATATGGTATGTCATTTCACAAGAGGTCTTTCGGCTTTGTGGGCTTTTAGAAAAAAAGTCACATTCTCTGGTATTTTACAGCAATAACGTCTGTCTTCATCCACTTTTGCAAGGTATTGTAGGATTAATGTGGTCTCTTTAACTACCATCATTCCCACAGTATTCTGAAAAATGTTTTTTTTTTAGTTTTTATATTTTTATGGTCGCTATGTTGTGTTTTAAAAAAGCCCCTCTTTACACAATAATCTTAGCACTCAACGTAACATATGTTGGCATTCGGGGGATTTTTCTCACATGGTGTTTAACAATGTATTTTCATGACATACACTGGCTAAATGTTCCTAGAAGATTAAACCAAATTAACAATATCAACAGGCCAACGGCACACACTTCATCTACGAGAACTCTATCCAGGGGGTGGTAGACTCAGCACATGGCCCCATCAATAGACAGAAACATCTGGAACTGCAATTCTCCTGTGTTTATCAGCTCAGACAGACACTCACCATGGAAACGACACTCTATGCTTTGCACAGGTGGGACATGCCACTGCCTGGGTCTTCACTGAAATGTTACTGATTAGAAAAGACAGACAGAGTGTTTTAGGATTTTGAAACAGGCGTAATATGTAGTTGGATGCATGGGTACCTGACTTTGAACGAAAGTGGAGGAGCTATTATTTTGTTGTCTGAGCTAAAATCTATAGACTATCAAATATTAGTAACAATAATTTTTACACCTGTGTGTTTAATTATATAGGGGTGTAATGATGAAGACCTCTAATACATAGTAATACATATAATGTTTTAACATTGTGTGAATGTACTATTTCAATCAGCCAAATCTTGAGAAAATAAGACATTATTTGACATAATAATTTCGAGAAATGTGTTTTATAAGTTTCCACATCCTGCTGCAAGAAAAGTTGAGAAAAACATGGGAGGGTGATACAGTTACAGAAAAAAATGTCATTTTGTTAAATAATGCTCACACAGGTATTTCACTTGGTGATGAAATTTCATTTGAATTAAAAGTCTCCATTCCTGTAGGGCCCACCTTAATATCTTGCAGCATGGGGCTGATTTCCAGTGTGGAGTGGGGGATTAGCCCAATGCTGGCAGGACTCAGACAAGACGTGTGTAGAGAAATCCTATAAATTTATGAATAGCCTAAATAAAAGGATAAATAAAACAATCACTTAAACAGTGGAGGAAAATAAGTATTTATCAACAATTCTTTCATGAAATGTATTTCCAGTGCAGCTATTCACATGAAATTTAGACCAATCATTTGGAATTCATCAATAAAACTATACTAAAGATATATAAAGAATTTCTTACAGTCAAATCCAGAAAAGGGTTATGAGTAATAAACTGAAATGACACAGGAAAGAAGTATAAGCACCACTAGGGCCATTATCCACAAGTGGAAGTAACATCAATTGACCATCAACTGACCATATAAAGGAGCTCCTCGCAATACTTCCAGCCAGGCAGTCAGAAAGTTAGTCATAAGAGTAGCCCAAGAGCCAAGAACTACTCGAAAAGAGCTTGAGAAAGACCTAGAAGCAGCAGGTACAGTTGTCACACAGAAAACAACAGGCAATGCACTCCACTGCCACTGCCTCCATTCGCAATCACACCAGAAGATTCCATTACCAAATAAAAGATTCACCAGTGGGCCCACAAAAATCTTCGAGATTTGTAGACTGTCTGTGAGAGATTAGTTTCTTTGTTCAGGAAAAGCCTGAAGCTGTCATTCCGAAACGCAGAAAAATTTCAGTGCATTTAATAGTTTATTCTTGTGTCATTCCACATTATTGCATATTTTCTTATATTTATGTGGATTGTAATGTTATGATTTCTTTAGCAGTGCAGCTATGAGATAATTTCAATTTCTGGTCAAAATGTCATCTGAATACCTGCATTGGGAACTTAATTTTTAATAATTAAAATAATTATAATAATAAATAATATCCAAAAGTAAAATTATGAAAAATCAATAAAACCATTAAAAATAGTGGTAAAGCAATTAATTGCTTGAACAACACACAAATTGCATTCTTGTAAGCTACAGAAATGGCAGAGCCTTCAGTCAAAAGGCCACAGCTGTGGAACGTGTCATTAATAAAGGTGTACAAAGATATATCTGACGTTTGGCAGTCATTTTCAGTCATGACTAACACTACAGAAAACCAATTATAAGACCGTAGGGGTGGGAGCAGGACAACACTAAACATGGTTATATGCAGACCTCTAGTTTGAATAAGAAGTGCTCCATTGGCTTCATTGCTCAGGTGCCTATGTTTCATGGCCAGGAAAACATTTCATATTTACAGCTTTACAGCACATCATTTGAATGTTTCAACTACTAACCAACGTGTGTTTGGATGTTTTCACAGTATGGTTCACAAAACCCTTCCAAGTGGTCAGGGGATGTACCGGGTCAGGATGATTCCCTATCAGGATGCTGCCTTCACCCATCCTTACAATGGCAGTGTGAACATAGTGGTGGATCAGCGGATCTATGTGGAAGTGGCTGTTCAGGGGGTGGACAGCCGCCAGATCGCCACAGTGATAGATTCATGTTGGGCCAGTCCTGTGAATGACCAGACTTTCGCTGTCCGCTGGGACCTCATCATCAATGAGTACGTTTTTCTTTGCCTAGATGCATACATTTCTGTTAAACAGAGCATTAGAGGTGGGTGATACAGAACATTTACCTGCCTCTACATCTATTTTCTATCTAAGCTGTTCTTTATTGATTTGAAAGTTAAATATGATAAATAATTTTCAGGTGTCCTAATCCAGATGACGGCACAGTTGAAGTTCTTCAGAATGGTGTCTCCACTACTGGCCATTTCTCCTTCAAGATGTTCTCATTTAATGGCAACTACTCCAAAGTTTTCCTTCACTGTGCCATTCACCTTTGCCTTTACCAGGGCAACAACTGTGCAGCAGTGAGTTCCGACCTTCCATCACCCTTTCCCATGTGGAATAGAGTGAATACTTAAGAAAACACTAATACTACTGTTTTAAGATATCTCAAATAAAATAGTATTCACAATCATAATTTCTTATAAGCCCATAAGAGCATAAGTATAAGAGCCATATAAACACTATTGTGAAAACCCATATTCTTCCTGGTCTCACATGTGCATGGTTGAGTGAGCAAAACAGCAGATTATATGGCAATAAATATCATTTTAAGATAAGAAAATATTGAAAAGTGTTGGTGACACTATTTGACTGGTCAGTTTTAGATGAAATAAACACTCAACAGACTCTCAGGTACATATCAACTGGATTAGGGGTTGGTTAAAAAGGAGGATTACATCTTACATTGAGTTCATGCTACAAAGAATTGAGACTTTTAAAGCAAGGGGAGGCCATACTCAATATTAGTACAGTTCTCTTATAAAGTGTCCAGTGGTGAATGAGCTGCATGTTCTACTGAGAGTTTTTCTTCAACCTTCAGTGCAGTAGCTAAATGAAAATGCTCAATTCAGCCAATTTTGGACAGAGAATTTCTAGCAAGACAGAATAAATACCCAATTTGTGTACAGAATAAATACCCAACACCACAGTCACCCATGTGAAACGCAAATTATCTTTGAAAATTAACACTTGGTTGTGTCATTTCACAATAACTGCAAACCTTTTTTTCATATAACTTGATAGGTATAGGTCATTCACATTGTCATGGATAAATGTCAGAGCACTGTTTAATTTTTTTGAATTCAGACATATTCATAGATTTTTATATACATAGATTCTTTTTTACTGGATAAGACACTGTTTTGGCTTTTTAACTTATGCTTTATATATGTGTTACAGACAATTTTGGCTGAATTAATCTGCATTTGACCCGTATGCACTTGAACATATAGCAGCGAGAATTTGTTAATTAAATGAAGTGTGAGAAACCCCCCATTTATCTTATGTATTCTGCAGCACTGTTTCCCTGGACACCATCACAGAGTTAGACGATCTCTGGACATCCATGACACTGCCTCCATCTCTGTTGGGCCTTTTGTCTGGACTGCTGGAAGCAGAGGTGAATGCTCACATTTTAAAAGTCACACCACCTTATTTAAATACAATTTAAATTATTAAAGCTGTCTAAACACAGTTGAGTAACTGTGTTAAAGAAACAAACTGGCTTAAAGGTTATAGGAGTGAGGAATTGCCCCAGGGACAAGTCTTGGATATTTAAGGGGTTAACCATTAAAAAGCATAGTTCTATATAAAATCTATATGTTGTTCTAGTACCCAAACTGAAAGAAAAAAAAAATCTTTGAAACTTTTTATTGCTTTTCATAACAAGCAAGGCAGTATCAACTCAGTAATGGTGGGCAGAACAAGCAGTGTAATACGATTTTACAAAGTACAGGCAAAAAATACACACAGTAGAGCTAGAAAAATCAGTGATCATTATAAGAAGTCTTGGGCCCAGTGTTCTTGAATAGACTTGTCCCATTTCCCATTTACTGCTTATCTTTGTTTAGACTGGCAGTGAGATGCATGCAAACTATAATTTCTATTTATTCTTCTTCTTTTGTTTGTTTTTTCTTTTTTGTTGTCTGTAAAATATGCCATTAGCACCTTTTATTAAATCAAAGAAAAATGAGAATCTAAAATGAGCATGATTTAGGAATGGAATACAAACCTCAGTTCCAAACATGTTGGGACTGTATGTGAATTTCAAATGATCACAGAAATCAGTGTATGCAAATCCACTATTAGCAGTCAAGTAGCTTTTGTGAGCATTACTGAAAGGGAAGAATAAGCTAAGACCAGCAGAATCTCATGAATTCATGTCTGTTAATTTTCTCCTATGTATTTACTGTAGCTGATGTAACTCATTGTAATTTGAATTTATTTTTTATTTGTAACACATCATTTTTATTTTTTCTGTTTACAGGTGTCTAGATTCTAGAGGCGATGAAGCTGTGGCAGATCCATCTCCAAAACACATACAGACATGTTCAAACACTTTTATACCCTTTTATTTTATCAAAAAGAATGCCTGATTAATCCTGAGACATTTTCACATTAAAAGATCTTCATCCTTACATGAAGCTTCAGATTATCAAGTTATCGGCCCTTAGGCACAAATATTTGGTGGGCGCCCAACATTTTTCCTGTAACTTGGGTGGCTGGCGATCTTATATTTGGCTTTTGAAATGAGCGTCCTCCACTCTTGGGTCTCACTTTTAAAGACTGCCAGTTGAGAATTGTACAAATCTCACTCCTACATACAGACTTCTCTTCAAAAGCTTTGCTAAGGGTCCCAATATTTTTGTCCATACCTGGAGAAGTATCAGGTCTCACTTTTACACACCCCCAAGCACATCTTTTGTATATCTGGAGTTTAACAATGAGTAAGGGTACCAATACTTTTGACCTTTTATATTCATTATTAATGAAATTTCCCACAACTCTGTTTTATATTCTTTCAAAGAATATGCTTAGTGCTGCACTATATGAAGATCTCTGTGTAATTAATATAACAGTCAATTACAAAATCATATGTCTGTGAAGGGGCTTCTACAACTGTAGAGATATGTACAATCAAAATATATAGTTACTAATGTAAGCATTAATCAGAAGCAAGCACAGCTCAGCTGTGACTGGGCAAATAAGTGAATGTTGGTTGATTATTTTCATTGGGATAAAATGTTCTTTGATCATTTAAACAGCATTTATGGCATTTTCAACATTAAAGTTTGAGCAAACAAGCACTGTGTATCTTCTGATTTGACCACTGATGGAAACTATGATTCCCACACACACCTCATCAACAAGCACTCACCAACCAGGTACCACACTCACTCTCCTCATCAACTAGAGGGCTGTACCACAAAGAAAGCTCAATAAAATCAGGATTTGGTAAAAACAAAACCAAACATTCAAGAGTATATGACTTTATTGGTTTCCTGTAATATTATAACAATGGTTCTTAAACTGGGGAGGGGGTTTGACGTTTACACTTTATTTCATTTTTATTTCAGTACATCAGCTGGCTGCCAGATACTTCCCTGATACAAACAACACAAACAGCTCTGCACTCCGCTCACCCACTCCTGAGGAAGAGAACCTCACTGAAACTGCTACGAGCGAAACTTTGAATACTGAGATCAATTAAAGCCATTGCCAGATTTCTGGATATCTTACATGCTGGTGTATATGCATGAGTGATGAGTGAGTGGGATATTTATAACATCCAGGGGGACTGATTTTGTAAGACTAAATGTCTTACATCATGGCAATATGTGCACGTGTACATATCGCTGCTATCCGGACAAAACCTTCTCCATCTCCAATTTTGTCATTTTTCATTTTGTGACATAATTTGAAAAAAAAGCAGTTGCCCTTTCTGTTGTGTCAAAATTTTATGATGAGGCACTATAATGCAGGTGTCAGAACACTTTATACCAAATCACCAAACCACAAAACATCTTAAAGAACATCTCAAGGTTGTTAAATGAGAACACTGGCTTGGTAAGAAAACACAAGTACAGGATCCTTGGATGACCTTGTTCATCAAAACAATTTAAATGTATACTCATAAGAGACCACTACTTGTGCTTTTTTGTGAGTGTGACTCCATCTTATGATTACAATGAATTTTATTTTTAGTTATAAAGGGCATTTAATGAACACAATTTACTTCAGGCCTGTAATAACCTGGTTTAATGGTAAAGTTTTGGTAAAGGGCAATTTGAGTTTATAAATGTTAATACATTATGGACACCAAATATTTGTCAAAATTATTTAAGCAATAGAACATGAGAGGGAGTGTATTATCGCGAAATAACATCACGTGATTTGTGATAACACATGACTTCAAGTGATCTATTGCTTTTATACAACTGTTAAATAAATAAAGTAAGAAATGAATAAATTGGGCTGTGAACGTGGCATTTAATATGTTTTAATGTTAGTGATTCCTTCCACCAAATTATAGTTCCTTAACAAGCAGCTTGTTGCTACGTCAGAGTAACGAACTCTGCTCACTCGCTGCACAGTTTGCTGTAAGCCTCGTAAACTGCCGCAATATCAAGTTTAGCTCAGCGTTGTCTTTTTTTGCCAGAACATATTATGGTTGTTTTGTTCCAGCCAGTCTGTAAAGCATCTTACAGCCCATTTAGTTTGGCGAATGGTATTCGGTTAATTTCTGGCTAATTCCAGGTTGTTTAGCTGTTCTTCTGTCACAGCTGCCGACCGAGAAGCTTGCTTAGTGGTAAAGTTTCTGAATTCAGTGTAGTCTCATCTTCAGAGTCTGACCAAATCGGCTGTAGGTCAAATGGAAGCTTAAAAGTGTCCATTTTCTGTTTGTGAGCAAAGTAAGAAGTAAAAACGTTCAAATGGCTTGAGCGTCTCCTACAGCAGTGAAAGTCGTTGCTTAGCAATAGCGTCTCAGCTGAGCGATACAGTGTTTGTGAAAAAAATGTGATGTTGTGGCGAAATAACAGCACAGTTAGAATGCTTCTCAACCAATCAGCTTGCGTGGCCGGAACTAACTGTTGTATAAAGTGCATTACAACATGTGTATATGGTGCTTTTTTAACAGATAGCTGACTTTATAAAGTATTGCACTCCTGCATTATAAAGAAAAGATTTCTCACTAATGTACTCTTGCATTATAAGGTGTGTTTCATACAGCTTTAACTACTTATAAGTAATTATACAGGTGTGGGGCAGTCATTATAAAATATGTAGCCATATAATGTATTATAAGTATTATAACATTTTTTTGGCCCACAACTTATTAATTAAAATAGCGTAAGTATATCCTTTAACGGCACAAACCAGGATTAATGAGATCAATTTGGCTACTGTTGGGGTGCTGAGGGACATCACTTGTGGATATATTAGTGCCCAGTATCTCTTGCTTCAGTAAAGCAAAACAGACAAACAAATGAACAAACAAACAAACACAAAAAAACAGTATCTGTTACTCACAGAACAAAGGTTTCTGTAAAGCTTCACAGTGACAACATATATTTACAATGTGCTATACAAATAAAATTGAATTGAACTGAATTGAATTGAGAAGCAAAGATAAAGTGTTAATTCTTCAGATGGGGTTGATGAGGCCTGTATGAGACCCTACAGATTTTTTTCTTGACTTACCCTGCTATAAACCCTACGTAGATTAATAGAATTCTCCCTATAGTGCTGGGACAATGTAAAACATCTGTCTGTTAAGGGCATTTTATTTGTGCATGGATTTTATTATTACAAAATTTCACCATAAGTGTAAAAAACTAATATATACCTATTAGCTTTTAATCCACCATCTACTCGAGCTTTGGAGAAGGTGAGAGAGTCCATTCATTTCTGTCTTAATGCTGCCATCTACAGGCAAGAGTGTGAAGTTTATGAATGACTCATAAGCATCTCCTAAAACAAACCTCTTCCTGGTGATCTTCCACCCTGGATAGTTTAGCTCTAGGTTGGGCATCCTCTGTTCTAAAGGAACCTTGAGAGAAAAATTCTTTGCACATGGTTTGTTTTCTATAAAACCAACTATAGCTTTTCATCAAATACAACTCATAATTTTCTTTTCTTTCTTTTTTTAAATTAGAAACATAAGGGTGATTTCATGTGGTTTTAGTTTAGAGTATAGAATGTGCGTTTTCCAAATAATTCCTCCGATTGTGTCCTTTACAAAGGAGAATTAGTTAATTCCTCCGACTGTGTCCTTTACAAAGGAGAATTAGTTAAGTTACTCTTTATCAATCCCACAATGGGGAAATTCACCTCCACCTTTAACCCATCTGTGCGGTGAACACCCACATACACACTAGTGAAAGCACACACACTAGGGGGCAGTGAGCACACTTGTCCAGAGCCTTGCCTATCCACGGTGCCCGGGGAGCAGTTGGGGGTTATATGCCTTACTCAAGGACACCTCAGTCACCTCAGTCACGTCCTGTAAGCTCAAGAGATTGAACTAGTGACCTTCTGGTCACAAGGCATGCTCCCTAACCTCCAGCCCATGACTGTCCCAAAAACTTGCACCCATACAGGGAATGAACCTACGACCTTGTCGTTATCAGCACCAATCTGAAATTATCCTAGCTGAGGCTTTAATAATGGTCTAAATAAAGTGACAAGAAACAAATTGAAATCAGCAAAGCTGTTCACCAAGATACAATACAATAACAAATAGCAAATGACAGTTTTGGTACACTCAGTGATAAATGACATGCTACCTCAGAAACATGGCAAGGCGAGGAAACATGGAGAGGCAGTTCTGGATTGTTACCTTGAGATAATAAGTTAAGTATCTTGTGATCTCAAAATTACAAAGTTGTTATCTTGAGATAACCAGTTAAGTATCTCGTGATCTCAAGATAACAAAAGTTGTTATCTTGAGATAATGAGTTATTTATCTTGTGATCTCAAGATCACAAAGTTGTTATCTTGAGATAACAAGATACTTAACTGGTTATCTCAAGATAACAACTTTGTGATCTTGAGATCACGAGACACTTAACTTATTATCTCAAGATAACAATACAGAATCCAGATAACGATCCAGAAAATTACAGCATCAGCTCATGGCCTCTTTGGACTTCCGAATCTTTAGGCATGAATCTGGCAACAGAAAAGCATCACTGTCAGCTGCTGTAAGTTGAATTATGGCCACTGTGGAGATGTTGTTGAAATTCTCCACAGCACTGGCAGACATGGTTGTGTTGTGTCGGATATTTCTGGAGGATAAGCTAAGAGGACGTTTAAAAAAGATTGATGAAACTCTACTAAAATATGCAAGGCTTCAGCCTGGATTAGATGTTAAAAGTGTTAAAATGAGCAAACATTAGATTTAAGCCGAATGTTTAAACCTTATGAAATTGTGACAGTGCCATACTGTGCATCAAATATTAGGTATCAGTGGTGAAAAAAGGCATACACATTTCTGATATACTGAAATAATTACAAGATATATATTAAACTTGCTTTGCCGAGACTGAGCATTAGTGAAGAGTTCAAAACAATAGTGAGGAGTTGAAACCATTTTTTCTTTCATCCATCCTTTTCTGTTTAGTGAAGAAAAGCACACAATGTTTTAATCACTCCACTGCTGTCTGTCATTTACCATCAAGTAATGTACTATTCAGTTCTCACACAAATGTACTGTACCATTTTTTCCTGATGAACCTGTTTTAACAAAGAAAAAGAATTCCAAGTGATGGTGCTGGACAGGAGTTATGCCTTTTTTCTAGAACCTAGTTTGCTCATTTGTACCTAGTGTGCTATCGAATATCAAGTTTGTTAAGTGACACATTACCCTTTTAGTATGCAGCGCTGGAAACTTTCACAATCTTGCTGTGAAAAGAAATCTCATGGTATGTCCAACTGACTCACTGAGTCAAGTTCAAGTTATATACAAGTACACAGTGAAACAAAACAACATTCCTCCAGGACCATGGTGCAACACAAGAACACAAGTGCAAAACAATACAATATACAGAGTTC